TGGAAAGGCGGTGGGAACAGGCAGTGCAAAGGCCCTGAGGTGGGGTTGAGGTAGGTGCAGTGAGACGACAGGGAGGCTGGGCAGAGTGTCCTGGACTGAGAACAGTGGGCAGTGATGTTGGGGTGAGGGGGCCAGATTCCATCTCAGAGAGCTGGGAGCCAGGGAGGCTTTGAGCAGAGGAGAGGCAGGACCTGATTTGCGCTGGAACCCAACTGCTCTGGCTGCTGTGTGGACCATATCCTGGAGGGAGCAAGGGGGAGCCCGCACAGGGTGGGTGGCTGAGGCGGTGGTCTCCGTGAGCATGTGCACGTGGCGAGTGGGGTGGCCTCTGCGCAGGTTTGGCTGGAAGTGGAGGTACAGTACTTGCTGGTGGGTGGGAGAGGGGAGAGATGCTGGCTGGGGTCATCATCCCAGTCGCCCTATCCTTAAACAGCCCACCTCCAGCTAGCTGGTGTGTCGCCCTGCACCTCCCTCCTCAGGAGTCCCCACCCCAGAAAGTCATTCTGCTCCCCAGGGGCCTGTCTCTCTTGGGCAGTTGCACGTGGAGTGCTTAAGGCAGGAAGTCTTACTCTTGCCCTCGTTGGTCCTATTACCGATTGTAAGACATAATTTTTTAATCTGCCTGTCTGTCTGTCATCATCTCCATTCACAGTGCTTTTTCTGCCTCCAACTTCATGCATGCTTGCTGTGAAAAATTCAAACATTATGGAAATATTTTAAGTGTAAACTATGCCCCAGCCCCCAGAGATAACCGACCTGTTAGGTTTCTCATCTCCTCCTCCAGATTTGTATGTTTGTGAAAATACATATAGATCTCTGTCTATAATATAGACCTACAGGTGTGCAATAGTAACAATCAGATCACACTATATACATCTCATAATTTTTCCAACACCATGTCTGGGACATTTTGGAACATACTGGTTGACCTGCTACTCAGCAGGACGGCCACAGGAGGTGATGGGAGGTTATGGGGGGGACTCTGGGGGCTCTCCTCCCCTCAATCTGTACCTGGGGCCTATCCTCCCCCCTAGTCTGTAACTGGGGGCTCTCCTCCCCCTAATTTGAACCTGGTTTCCCTAAACCCCTCCCCAGTCTCTCCCCAGAGTCTCCCCATTCTCATTCTCTTCTAGTTGGATAATAACGTATGGCAGCATTTCTCCATCTTGACACTGCTGGCGTGGGGGCCAGGTGAAGCTCTGCTGTGGGGTTCCCTGTCCATTGTGGATGTTGGGCAGCAGCCCTGGCCTCTGCCTTCCAGGTGCCCGCAGCACCACCTCCCACTCTCACACTGTGACAGTCTGGAGTCTGTAGAGGTCACCAGTGCCCGAGGCTGTTTGTCAATCTTGGCACAGCTGTGCGACGGCTTCTGTAGTATCAAGTCCTTGAAATGTTGGGTCAAATGATGTATTTGCAGCACCTCTAGAATTTATATGTAGGAAGGGCTGGGGGGAAATCAGAAAGGGGGGCCAGAGGACTTGTCCTAAAGGCGCATTTATTGTACATGGCAAAGACATCAAAGAAAATCTATTTGTAGAGACTGGGGAGGGGTTTTGGGAAACCAGGTACAGATTAGGGGGGAGGAGAGCCTCCAGGTACAGATTAGGGGGAAGGAGAGCCCCCAGGTACAGATTAGGGGGAGGAGAGCCCCTAGAGTCCCCCCCCCATCACCTCCTGTGGCCCTCCTGCTGAGTGGCATGCGAATTAAGCCATGAGGCAGCTGCTCTTCAAGCTCGGTTCATTGAGACTGCCTTGTCTGCAATGAAGGCCTTGTACGGCTCAAAGTACCAAAGTTTGAAATCACAAAATGTCAAAGTAGAGGCAATAAAACCCCCCTCAGACACTACATACAGATCATCACTTGCTTAACCTTCTGTGTTTTTCTTATCTTTTTCAAGTGCGTAACTTAAAAATGATATAAGCAGTGGTGTGCACCCCTTATTTTTCTCTTAAGTGCAAGCTGGTTCCTAGTCCTCTTAGACATGATTGGTGGGGAGGGGCACACTGGGCTGTGGGGAAGGGCTATGGGTGCCTTGGGGATGGGCATGTTGTGGTCACATACATCTGAAAGGGTAGGATCTTATATTTCTGAATCATACACAGTGTTGCAAACCAGCGTTACCTTAGCAAAAAATTTAAAAATAAATGAATGGAAAGGGGCGCATCCTCTGAGCTGACACCCCATTTCCTTTCTGCAGATGAGCCATGAGGTCTGTTGGGTGGAGTAGGCAAAGGTCCTAGTCCCCTCACCCCTTCCCAGATTTTTCCTCTGCAAGATGGCAGGTGCCCTTGGCACCACCCCCAGAGGACCCTCTGAGGAAGGGACCACAGAGTTCTTGGCTCAGAGCCTGGCTTCAGGTAACTGTGCGGTGAATGCCAGCTCCCATCATCGTGAATTTTGTTGTTGTTGTTGTTTTCCATTTAATGAGTTACAACCAAGCTGTTTTGCAGGGTGCTGAAACAGACTTTTGGAGTTGGGGGGTGTTTTGTGTTTTGCCTTCCCTCTCAGTGATGTGTCCCAGATTATGGGAAGCTTCCCAAATTAATTTAAGTGAGATGATTTTCCTTTGCAGTCCTCTGTCAAATTTACCAAGTAGGCAGTTGTGTGATGGTCCGACCACCAGAGTCAAGCCTCTCAACATTTGCTAATCTTCCCTTCTTTCCCGAGACACCCCAATTTGAGGGCTTATGGCCTTCAGGTAGACAATGGCGTCTCACTAAACGAGATGCTCATTTCACTGTTATCAGTGTTTTTTTATTTTTTTTTTAAAGATTTATTTATTTATTCATATAAGCACTGGGTACAGTCAGAAGCGCGGGAGGGTGAGAGAATTCACCAGAGCCAGAGCGGGGAGCAGAACAGGCAGATGGACGAAGTACACTGCTGAGGGGAGCAGCGGGCCGCAGGAGAGGTCTGCGCGCCATGTGGGACCCTCCTCTGGTGGCCAGGGATCGAACCGGAGCTGCAGAGGCTGCGGGCAGCTTTGCAACCCAGCACTCAACCGCTGCGCCACCAGGGAGGCCCTATCAGTGTTTTTTTAAATCGGTTTCCTATGGTATAAGATTTTGGTTTTCCATTTATGGCAGTGATAGGGTTTATTTAATGTAATTTTACACAAGTAAGGGATTGTTTTATTTAACATAATTCAATTATAATTAATTTTTGATGTTTTAAATTTAATATTTGACTTGCTACTTAAAAATCAGAGGCATTAAAGGCAATAACCTTGACCCTGCCCTGGGCCTGAGTTAATGAAACCGTGTGTACACTCATGCAGATAAACACCTTTAATCGGGGCCTGGAAAGATCAGAGGGTCCTGGAGTCTCCTGTCTCCCAGTCAACACCACTGCTGTCACTGTGTCCCCTCTGGGTGCTGCCGAGCTCTCTGGGTGCTGAGAAGCTGATGAATTTTCTGCCTCTTGTGCTTCACCTTGCCCAAATCCCCAAGGAATACATGCATTTGAAGAGGGCAGTCTTTTAGGATTAGCTGGGGGTCAGCTCCAGCCTCCTGAGCACCTACTATATGCCCTGCATGTTACTGATTTGGTCTCCTCATTTTCCCAACAGCCCTCATAAGTAGACTGTTATCCCCATGTTGCCACAAGGAAGGAGTTGGGGAGGAGGAGGAGGTTGCATGTCTAGAGCCCCTGGCTGCTGCACTCACTTCCCAGCTGGCACTCGGCACTCCAAGGGCACGCCTCATTCACCTCTGGAAGGGGCTAGGAAGGGCTCGTAGGGGTGGGATTTTATTCACTTAAGTGAACAAGTAAAAGCCCTCACTTACAGACAGTGGGTGGCATGGTTAGGTGACACCCAGAGCTGTTAAGGCATTTCTACCTTCTAGACAGTAAGATGTGAAGGTCACACACACGCTGCAGCCCAAGTCATGAATCTCTAGTGTGGATTTCCCAAGCCAGAAGGACATTTACCTCTGGGTGGCAACTTTTATGTCTCTTTATAGAGTAGGCCCAGTGTGGAGGGGAGATGTGGGACACCTGATTTTCACCTAAAACAAGCTGTGTTTCTTGCGGGAGCATCTGAGAGACTTGGGGAAAGAAGCAGAGACGCAGGGGAACCCACGCTGAGTGCCTGTCTGTGCTCAGCCCTGCGGGCACTTGACACAGGTTTTCTCCCCCAGAATGCTGCCAAGTGGATAGTGCCCCTATTTGGACTCAGAAGGTTCAGGCGAGGTCACAGGACAGGAAGTAGCACAGCAGCCATCCCCCAAGGTCTGGATGGTGCCAGGGACTTACTGTCTTATCTACACAGACCCTCAAATGAAATAGTGTAATACTAATGCAGAAAAGAATTCAAAGGTCCACATGGAATTTGGACTCTTTGTTTGAAAACAATTCCCTGGAGACTCTCACCTCCTTTTCTGTAAGGTGGGCTGCGTTGGCTCCTTCCCAGAGTTGCCATTGGTGGAGATCCCTGGGTGAGCTGTCAGGGGTCACACAGGCAACGGGTCACCTTTCCTGCCTCCAGCTCTACAGGTCCCCCTTTCCCTTCCCACCCCACCCCGCCCCCGCTGTGTTTATCTGCAGATCCCTGCAGGTCCCTGCTCTAACCTCAGTTTCCCCACTTCTTCCAGGACCAGTGGAGAATAGCTGCCAAGAGCTCTTGTGCAAGTGTGACCAGGAGATTGCTTACTGCTTGGCCAAGAATGAGTACAACATAAAGCACCTCTTCTACCCCCGGTTCTTATGCGGAACCGACTCGCCCAAGTGTGACTGACTAGCCTGATTGGAAATGTTCTTTTACATAAGGAAATAAAACTCCTTTTCTCTAATCAACAGCAGCATTCAGTCTTTTGCAGGGGAGAACTGATATCCAGCGTTCCAGCCGCAACCCTTATGTTTGCTTTCTCTGCTGTCCCGGAACCTGGGCTGGAGCTAGTCAGGTTTCCAGTTTGATGAAGGTCAGAAGTTTTCCAATTGATTTATAAAACCACAGCCGTGTTTATTTATTTTTTTTAAAGATTTATTTATTTATGGAAGAACTGGGGTACAGACCAGATGCGGGGGAGGGTGAGAGGATTCACCAGAGACAGAGTGGGGAACAGAACAAGCAGACTGACTGAAACATACTGCTGAGGGGAGCAGCAGGCAAGACAGGAAAGGTCCACCCCACCATGTGTGTTGCTCCGCGGCTGGTGGGGATCGAACTGGCACTGCAGAGGCTGCAGACAGCTTCACAGCTCAGTGCTCAACTGCCTGTGCCATCAGGGAGGCCCCACAACTGTGTTTATGACTATTGAGACAGGTACCATTGTTGGGGACCCCAACACCAGAGGTTCTTGCAGAAAAGAATTTCATGAGGCAACTAGGTTTGTTGGGAAGGGACAGGGCAGAATACTGCAAGGGGGGTGGTGGTGGCTCAGGATAGCGGGGAGCAGCACCAGGTAATGAGGCAGTGGGGTTTTCAAGGGTTTTTCCTTTCTGGGTGGGGAGGGCTCCCTCTTAATTATGCATGCTTTGCTCCCATTATGCCCCACTCCCAGACTAATTGCACCATCCCTCCCTCCCTTAGAGGTTGGGGGGAAACTAGTTAAAACTCTTCTCAGACCTCCCAGACCTGCCAGACCTTATCTGGACCTTGACACAAAGCAGCAGCCTCAGCTGACCCCCCTGCAAGTATTGAGACCCTTTCTAGCTCAGACACCATTTTGGAGGTTTGGCCTTTATGAAAAGGAGCTAAGCTTTGTATTCTAAGCTGTTCCTGAGGGCGGAGTGTCAGGTATGAGCAAGCACCTACTTAGTATGCGCCTGGCCCCCTCCTAGGTTCTGGGTTGAGGCAATAAACAAGACACTAGACAACACCCACCCTTGTGAGGTGCAAGTCCAGAAACTGTTAGCTTAAGGAATTACTTTCCCATCCCACTCTGCATGTAATAGTCAAAGTGATGTCCTGATTACAGAAGTAGTACACACTCACTGCTCAGCAAAATTACAGGGGAATGTAAGGGCAAAAAAATCACTCAGGTCACAGCATCTTACTGTGCTGCTGTCAACCAGTCTTTTGTATCATTTTACGAGATGTAGTTAAGACTTTCCGGGGTCATTTTCACTAGCTTCTCTGCAGATCATGACAGAATCTCAGAAACTTTTTTTTTTTCTTTTTTTTAAATAGCTGTATTAGAAGCCATTTTAAAAATTGCTAACTTTTAGCTACTGGGTCTATTTCCTATCAGTTATCGCTATAAATAAACTTCTTGTCCCACCCTTCCCCCTCTTTATTATTCCTTCACACAGTTTGCAGACATGGATTTCTTGTACCCAAAGGTCTGAATATTCTAAGTAGGTGCTCCCTTTTGAAGCACCCAAGGCTGCTATGATTGAGAGGGCCTGAGGGGCACGGAGGTCTTCACCCTGTCTGTGCCCTTCCCTGTTGCTGGTGATAAGGCGGCCCAGGATGTGTGCTCAGGGCCATGTCTCCAGAAACCTCCCCAGAGCAGATGTGGGGTTACTCATCTTTGAGGTAGGATGTGGGCAGTGGGTGGGGTCAGGTGGTAGCAGAACTTAGGTGGGGTGAGAGCACGGGACAGGGAGTCAGGCAACTTGCTGTCCTGCCAGGCAGCACCGCCATGCCTCCCAACCCTCACCTCTTCTTCTGAGAATAGTGGTGTTAGTCTCTGGCTGTTCCAGGGTTAAGACAGGTAAAGCCAGACAGCCCTGGGGGATGATGAGCAAACACAGAAGGAAGAAAATTGCCCCTTTGATTTCAGACACCTTCGGAGCAGGGTGGAGGCTTGTGCCTAATTGTGATTAGTCGTATTGGCAACGCAGATTTTTTTTCATGTTTTCTAAACAATTTGTTTTCCCCTACATAGAAGCTTTAACTGTGTAAAAATCTTTATTTTTATTTCAAGTAATGTCTTCAAACTTTCAGGTGCAGTTTGAGTGAGATCTTCCAAGATACAAAGGCTTACTGAATGGCTTAGGGCGTCACAAAGACACTTTGTGAGCTTATCTGCAGATGGATTCATTTCCCGTGGAAGGATATGAAAGCCCACATCCCCCACATTCACAGTCACTGTCACAGCCACACCCGCTTCTCACGCACGTCAGAACAGGAAGATGAGGGTTACACAGTGTGAGGTCAATGTACAGAATGTTTCCTTGAACAAAAGGACTATCCTGGAGTTTATTTTACAGGTTAAATTCTTAAAAACAAATCAATTTTAAGTAACAAGGAGGCAGCTCAGTCTTGTGTAAATCACTCTCCATTTATAGCTGACATCCACTCACTCCCCCCCTCAGGGAAGAGCTCCAGACGCTCAATGAAGACAAGTAGAAAACAGTGACAAGATTGGTTGTCATGATTCCAGTCTCAACTGAATCCTTTAAGAGGTTTGACTCTGAACCCTTATAGCAACTGGTCCATAAGAATCGTGGATTGAAAGGTGGGTTTTCTGTCTTTTTTATGTGCAACTTTCTATGCCTATGACAAAATCTCTCCCCCTCAACCCTACTCCCATTTCTCTAAGCTTGAGGAACAGGCCTGGTCCTACAAGCCTGGTCTCAAAAAGACTCAGGTCCCAGAGTTCCAGCTGACCCTGGGAGCTCCCGCCAGTCACTGAGGTACCACAGGGGGACTGCCACGAGCCAGCCTTCTGAAGTCGCCCACGCTGCTCGCCTGAGGACCCTGGGTCCTTGCCAGCTGTCCTGGCTGGCCTCCCAAGTCCCTGTGAGGAAGGTGGCTGTGGGAGGCTGCTGCTATGTCATCCAGGAGCTCTGGGTGTCAGTCCTTGCCGCCACGATGCCTCAGGCTGAGGGAGAGAGAACCTGTCTGTAGACAGACAAAGCAGCACCTTGCTTACCAGGGGAAGGAAACAGGAGGTCCGCTCCCTCCATGCCCCACTTTAGCCTCAAAGCTTAGAAGTCAGGGAGGCAGGTAAAGTCGCTCAGAACCTAGGCTGTGCCAGTCACAACACCTGGGTTTCCAGACGTCGAACTTCCTTGACCACGAGGTCAATGTTAATAATTGGGTTGAAGTACAGGGCCCAGTAAAATAAGCAGTTGCAAACAAATTGAGGAATGAGGGGCCAGAACATGGCCACAAAAAGCCCCTGTGTCGATACTTTCCAAAAATGGCTCCACATTCGCTGAGGCACAGTCCTGAAAAAAAAAAGAGACACATTTGAGAGCGGAATCTTGACAATTTCTTAAGATGACATCCAGGCGCTCAGGCCCCGGGCCTCTTTCCAAGGCAGAATCTGGCTGCCTGGGTTGCAAAGACCTTGCCTCCTGCCCCCATCCCTGACAAACCACTGTCTGGCTCCCTCGGGACACAGCAGTCCAGTCCCCCTGCTAGGCGAGGCAGCCCCAGTCCCACCTGCTTCACTGTGGTATTTTTTAACTAAGTCGGCATTTTCTCTGCTAGGTTGTGTGTAGACTGTCTTCTTTACTCAAAGATCTGCAGTGCTCAGTAGAGAGTCTGGTGCCGGGTAGGAGAGCAGTTAATGGGCATGAATAAATGAGTTCTCTGAGCTGCAATGAATGACAGAGACTGTCAGCCCCTCAGAACTACTGATGAAGCAGTTCCTGATGGATGAGGCCAAGGATCCTCGAGTCAAAGGTTGTTTCAGGTGGAAAGGATGCTGGTGCCATGCTGCTCTGCCTGCCCAGCTGCCAGCCCTTCTTCTGTTTTTTTTTTTTTTAAAAGATTGATTTATTTATGCATACAAGAACTGGGGCACAGGCCAGAGATGTGGGGGGTGACAGGTTTCACCAGAGACAAGAGTAGGGAGCAGAACAGGCAGAATGACTGAAATACACTGATGAGCGGAGCAACCCGGGCAAGACAGGAAAGGTCTGCTGCGCCATGTGGGTAGCTCCCTGGCCAGGGATCGAACTCGTGCTGCAGTGGCTGTGGACAGCCTCATAGATTGCGTCTTAATCTCTTGCACCACCAGGGAGGCCCCCAGCCCTTTTTCTGGAGCATCTGAGTTTTCCTTGGGGGTCCCTCCCTCCCCTGTTGTTTTCATGTGTCTGGACAGGGCTGAAGCCATCCCCTGGGTGGCGAGGTGGGTGCATGGCTCCAGCCTGGACACACCCAGCATGAGGGGTGTGGTCGGGTGGTGTGATGTGACCCAGGCTGGGCCAATGAGAGCAAAGGTTGGTGAGCCTGAGGCCCTCATAAGTGGTAGGGGAAAGAGGCCCTCTCTTCCCACCGGGATTGCCAAGCTACTCAGATCTCTGCCTGGAGTGACCAAAGACCCACACAGATTGCTGCCTGAGGCTGAACAACATAGCAAAGAGTGTGTGGAGGGACGTAGGGGGTGTCAGTCCTGCTGACAGCATTTGGATCTCTGGGGGCACAGCTGAGGGTTTCCCTTTTTAGGAAAGGCCATTTCTGTTGCAACTAAGAGCGCTGACTCAGTGACTGTCTAGTCAACTTTTTCATATCCAGAGACATTACTGCCATGCCCACTGGTGGCAGAGTAAGATAATCTTCCTCTTCACTGCTTAAGTAATGCTTCTAAACCAGGAGCTATGAAAGGAGTCTTTTTGTGCTTGAGTTATGTCAAAGAGGACTTTCCCACCTCTTGGTGTTTCTTTCCCAGTTCCTCTTACTTCAGCCAGCTCCAAGATAGAAACACACTTACTTCAGTTCGCTTCTTGACCAGATCCTCCAAAAGGAAAATAATTCCAGAACAGAAAGTAACATGGCATTGACAATGAGAAAGCGTGATGTCCAGTAGTGGACCTCCAGCCAGTCCCAGGCAAACTCGGCCATCAGCTGGTAGGGCAGGAAGGAATATTTGACCAGGAATTCTCGCCACTGCTTCCAGGTGGGCTCTTTAAGATCCTTTAAAGGTAACACACACATAAAAATAAAAACACATAAGGATTGACTTTCACGCGACATACTGTGGTTGTCCCAGTAAGTTTTTCATTCACACACACACACACACACACACACCACGCACACCACACACCAAACACACACACACAGAGCAATCTAAAAATAAAATTTCCATCCATCAATTTACCTGTAATAATCCCAATTGGATAAATGTTACCAAAGAGTTTGAAATGAGATGCATACATAATTGTGGAAGTCTAAAAGTAAAACTCGAAGCATGGATTATAAATAATGGAGTTGGCATGACTTGAAATGAACCACTTTTTAAATTTCTTTGTCACTGCATGGATAACGCCAACAATTTCCTAAATTCAACACCTTAGGTGTGGTAGGATGATAACAGGTGATGGGGAACATGAAACACACATCTTCAAAAAGTAATTCTATGTAAAATAAAACGTTAATTACAATATTAACAGGTGATTAGCAAGAGAACCCAAACAACTAACTGATGGCATTCAGAAGGTTAATGGAAGCTCAGCAAGACAGCAGAGACAGAGTGTTCCAGAAAATAAGCTAGCCTGATGAGCAGGCAGTTGCTAAGGGGCTTGTTCAAAGGATGGAAAGGTCTCAGCCCCAGGCCAGCAAGGGCAGGAAACACTGGACTCTGGATAATTAGAGGAACACTGTTCCTAATTCAATATTATCCACCAACAATCCTGATGGAATCTAGGGATCAAACTGAAGAACCAAGGGCCTAGGGTGGGTAACTAGCCCTGCCAAGGGCCCTGTGGTCGGCTGGCGTGGCCTAGTGTTCAGAGGCTGACAGGATGTGTACTCATTCTGCTGTGCTGTGTGGCAGGACAAGTAGTTATCCTTTGGGGATCCTGTTGGGAGACAGGTTACCAAACTGGAAGACACATAACCTTAACCCTTGGGCTATCTGGACCTATGCTATATCTTCTATAACAAAAGCAATGCTCTTCTTTTCCTTTTCCAAGTATTTCAGAGGTAGCCCCTCTTGTTACGCAATGCAGGAAGCAAAACAGGCTTCTGGGAGTGGGGAAGTTCCTCTTTACTTTCTCCTGCAAGGGTTCTCCTTCCCAACTCCAGTGAAGGCCAGCTGTTGTTTGCTGTTCCACGCCTGGCTCCGGTTGATTCCAGTTCCATACCAGACTGAGGGAACAGCCACCCAAGCCACTCTGTAGACCTACCAGAAGCTTGGTGATGATGCCCTCCCCAGAGCTGTCTTCTTGCAGAGGGCAGATGGTGTGGATGAAGGGCAGGAAGGTGTCTGTGTAGTCAAACAGGTAGAGGTACAGTAGCCCAAGTCTGGGGGAGCTCTTGAGGGCATAAAGCAGGAACAGAGACCTGCCGGGGTTCACAGCCTGCAGAGGACAAGGCAGGCACAGGCCACATCACAACCACGGCTATCAGCACCCCATCCTCCATGCTTCCCAGACTCATTCCCATGGCCTCAGCCTCGGTGCATGATTTGCACAGACAATGAACGAATGATAAATCACTGCCAGAATTTAAAACCCATCAGAGGACTGACACTGGCCACAAAAAGTTCAGCATTTGATGGCATTAACTAAACCAGTAACATAATAAAAGTAGTGATTTTTTAAATTAAGGAACAAACAGATCTGAAACTTATATAATGTAACAATGCAATGTCATTTTAATAAAATAGCAGCAATGCAAAAAAAAAAAAAACAAGTCTTCTATCTTAGGACATCCATTTCCATTCTTCAAAAAATTTTAAACTACTGGGTTTTTTTTTTTTTTTTCAGTTTTAAAGTAATACATGTACATAGTTAGACACAGTGCACAAAAATGTATCAAGTGACAAATAATATTCTCCCTCCCATCCAAGTCTCATTCCTAGAAACCCTGTTAACAGTTTGTGTATCCTCTGGAAGTACTTTATGCATGTGCAAACACAGAAGTACATACAAAGTGCACATCTCCCAACTTGCCTTTCTTCACTTGCAGTTAACAACACACCCTGGGCAGACTTCCTCATCAGCACGCCCCGAATCGCCCCCTTATAGAAGGGCACTAAGTATGGGTGTGCCCTATTTATTTAACCTGTTCTGAGAAACGTGCAACCAGGTTGTCTTCCGTGTCAATGATACTATCTTGTTCAATATTTTCTGTGACTCAGACATTCAGTTCTCACTACGACTCTAGGAGGCCATGTAGTGAGGAGGAAGTGGACATCAAAGGCCCAGGTATAGGCTGGTGTTTCCAGAGCCAGGGTGTCCTGCCAGATCCTGGCAAGAAGCCTGCTAGCGATCACTGTGTGAGCTATGCCGCCTCGGCTCTAAATGCAAAGAAGTGAGATTATAGGTCAAGGAGTAGATGCGACTTAAATTTGAATTGTTACCAACAAATCGCTCTCCAAAGAGACTGCAGCTATTTCTGATCTGCAAAACCGATGCGCAGAGCATTAAATGTTTTCATCCTTGATAGCATCACAGGGGCAAAAAAATGCCACCCGGTTGTTTTGGCTTACTCTGCTCCTGCCATTACTTGTGCAGTGAAATACTGCATGGGAGGAAAGGAGTGTAATGGACCCAGAGACAAAAGGGATTGTGGGTCAGGCTCAGTCCACTGACACAGCCTCTGACACTAAGGTAGAAATCTATCAGATGACAGTCCTAGGGCTTGTGGACACAAACCTACAGGCAGAGGGAAACCCGCCCACGGAGGCCTTGCAGTCCAGCACAGGAGCGCGGTTCCTCCAGGGAGGGTGGGGCATGGGGGCCTCAGCTGTGTCACCAATGTTTCCTTAAACAGCAGGCATGCAAATGACAGCTATGCATTTGTATGTCTTCTATTAAAAAAAAGTAAGAGTTCACCTTGTACTCCCAGAGGTTTTGGGGGGGCTTCACACCGAGGGCTTTGATGCGCTCCAGTTCTATAAAGATGGCTCTCCTGTGACTGCTGTTTTCTATGGCATAGGGCACCCTTGAGAAGTCTTCCTCTGTCAGGGTTAAGAGCAATCTATGGCAAGGGGGAGACAGGAGATTTCTTATGAGATTATATGCTGGACGCAAACCTTCCGAAGTCAAGTTTCATCTTATCAACACAAATGCTTCAGTCTGCGGTAGGACCTTTAGTGTATGAAATAATATTAATAACAGCAAACAAATGAATGCTTACTATCTGCCGGTGACTATCTGAAAATTTAATAAGCCACTGCTGATGTATTTAACATCTCTGCAGGATGGGTGGCATTATGCCCATTCTGTGGATGAGAATCTGGTTGGAGAAAGGGGGCAGCACGAGGCCTACCCAGGTCTGTTTTGCTCCTAACTTGGCCCTTCTAGGTAAGCACTCTGACCTCTAACACATGCCTCTATTTTTCCAAGTGTGTATGTACAGAAAAAAAATCGGACAGGAACCAATAAAACATTATGACATTAAGAGCAGTTGTGCTGGAGAAGTGATTTTATGAAATGATAGCTTCCCTATTGGCTCCTTTTCAACAGAAAATGTGACCCCACCTCCACATGTGACCCATCTGAACACACCTGTGCACCCCTACGCACACGCAGCCTCTAGAGGAGTATAGACGGAGGCTCTTTTGTGGATAATTTGGCAATGCTTATGACAGTTGTAAAGGTTTATCTCTCTCTGACTCAGCAATTTGTTTTTTGCAGTTTTTGGGCTCTATCCCCTGGAAGGAAGGCAGCTATACCAAGACAGATTGTACTAGATTTATTTATATATGCATACAAGAGCTGGTATGTAGGCCAGAGGTACAGGGGTGAAAGGATTCACCAGAGAGAGTGGGGAACAGAACAGGTGGATCTACTGAAATCCACTGCTGAGGGGAGCAGCGGGGAGACAGGAGAGGTCTGCTGCGCCATGTGGGTCAGCTCCCTGGCCGGGGATTGAATTCAGAATGCAGTGGCTGGCGATAGCTTGATAGTGCTGAAACTTTAAACCCTGCACCACCAGGGAGGCCCTAGAGGGTTTTTTTAAGCTACACTGTGGAGAACCTCTACCAAAAAATGACAAAGTGGGGGGCATTCTGCTTCCCCAAAGGAGTGTCAAGAATTGAAAGCTCAGTTCAAGAGGAAAAGTGACTGAGTGGAAGGTGGGGCAGCCTCTCGGTAAGTGAACTACATGTCTGCGATGAGGGAGAGCGGCTGCTCTTAGTACTGCCTGGGGTTCTAAGTAACAGCCATACACAGTCCAAAGAGGGGAGGGATATTGAAAAAGATGGACAGTGCTCTGGCCTGGAAGTGGGTGTGGAAGCTGTTGGGGGCAGAAGCAATTCTGAGGTCCCTGTATACCAGAGCATCCACTACAAGGTTGTTGGGAAGAGGGGAAAAAGGAGACAACTCATGTCTATTGGGAGAGCTGGTTTAAACAGACTCTAGCATACACGAACATACCCATATGTACATATCCTTATAAACATATTTATTTAGTACAATCATATTTTTGGTTTAAATAAATTTAAAAAATTGTATGTGCATGTCTGTATAAACATTGGGGAAAATATGGAAAGATACATGATAGATGATAATAGTGGTTTTCTCTGAAGAAAAGGATTGCAAGGGTATTTCAATTTCCGTATTCTATACTTCCACATCATTTTAAAATAAGTATTAATCTATATTACCTTAATAATCAGGAAGCAACAGATAAATTAAAATGCTAATGGCATAAAATGTTACAGTCACTTTGGAAAAGTTTGACAGTTTCTCAAAATAAAAGTGACTTCAAAATAAAAGTGACTTCGTGCACAGCAACTTCACTTCAAGAGAGTATTGAAAACCTATGTCTATAACAAAACTTGTACACAAATGATCACAGCAGCATTATTCATAAAAGCCCCCAAGGGTCTGTCAGTTGAAGAAATGATAAATAAAATGTGGTATATCCATACACTGGAATATTATTCTGTCATAAAAATGAATAAAGCACTGATCCAATGGACAATTTGGACGAATCCTGAAAATTTATGCTACGTGGAAACATATAAGTCACACATAAGGTATGATGCCATTTATATGAAATACTCTGAACAGGCAAATTCAAAGACAAAAGTAGAATGGTGGCTGCCAGGGATAAGGGAGGCGGGAAATGAGAGCTGACTGCTAAGAGCTTTTTTGGGATCGGGGTGGTGAAAGTGTCCTCAGGCTAGATTGTGGTGATGGCTGCACATTTCTGTGAATATATTAAAAGTCACTGATAATACACTTGAAATAGGTGAAAGGTGTGTATAAGAGACAGGCTCAATAAAGGTATTTTAAAAAAAAGGTCAATGATGTAGCAGAAGATTTTGCTTCTCACCTTCCATTTACTCTTTCAGATAAAAACCTGTCCCTGTAGAGAGAAGCCCATGGGCCCAGTTGCTCCAGCCAGAGGACTACTTCTTCTGCTGTCCATTTGGCGACAGCTTTGTGGACCAGGAGGTCGTGCTCAGATTCCCTGCTGCTCCAGTGGTACACGAGCAGGACCACCTGGGGAGAAGTGATAGGACTTAGGACATGGAAAGGCAGAGATGCCAGGTTCTACATATGTGAGTATGGGGCAGGGCTGGGAGTGGCAGAGCGAAGGGTTTCCCAGCTGGTACACCAAAAAACGCAGCCACACCAGCGATCTCAGGAGCATAACGCTTGGGGGGCTTGTCTCTGCTGATTGTAGGGCCACAGGGGAACAGAGGCAGCAATGCAGCTCACGGTAGGGCATTTGGGAGCTCTGTATCCTCAATGCTAACATGGCCACAAACTGACTCCTGCCTTTTCTAGTAGGAAATTTATGAGTTTTTTGTAGCATGAAATTTTTTTTTTTAAGATTTATTTATTTATTTATACAAGCACTGGGTACAGTCAGAAGTGCGGGAGGGTGAGAAAATTCACCAGAGCCAGATCAGGGAACAGAACAGGCAGACTGATGAAATACACTGCTGAGGGGAGCAGCGGGCGTGGCAGGAGAGTTCTGTTGCACCTTGTGGGACCCTTGCTGGCAGCCGGGATTGAACCGGTGCTGCAGAGGCTGCGGGCAGCTTTGCAGCCCAGCGCTCAACTGCTGCGCCACCAGGGGAGGCCCTGTAGTATGAAATTTTTAGAGAAAACTGTCTCTATGCTGGAGCTAGTAATGTGCTGTGTTCCAGATGCCGTCATCAAGGTAGACCTGGTCTGAGCTCCCAGTTACAGCACTTTCTGTCCTTATAGCCTCCTCTTTAAAATGGGAATAGTAATGGTGCCTGTTACGTAGGTGACGAAGAGGGTGAAATGGGAGAAAGCTAACATTTATTGGGATCTGAATATCCTATTTTTACTTGAGTAAGCAACTGCCCCAAAGAATTATACGACCCAGCAGATTTCAATGTATGAGATGAATTACCACATGCAGTTATGTCATCGGTCACTTAGGTGTCTTTCAACAGCCCTGACTGTAGTGGAAGCCATGAGGGAAGGAGGACAGTGAGACCCAGACTTACTGCCACACAGGATAAAGCTGTGAGCACTCCAGAAAAGAATCCCCCTCCTCGCTGCTGGTTCACTCGGCCTGTGTTGGGAGCCACAGAAAGCTGATCATTCCCGTATTTCTGAAAGGCTGCAAGACTCTGGACTATGTCATTGTTCTGCTGAATGTCTTCGTGCCGCATTCTAATGGCATCAGGAAAGAGTTTTTCGATGGCATCCCTATGGAGAACAGACAAAGAAAATCACTAGGCAGTGGTTTAGTGGTTTGGCTAAATATACTTACATCAAAGTCAAAATGAAGTAGGCAACATTTAATGTTATAAAAGTGCTCCAGAGGAATGGACAAAAAGATTGGTAACTGCAGAAAAACAGAAACCACCTACAAGCTAATCAGAACCTGGTATGTTCTTTTTTTTTTTTTTAAGATTTATTTATTTTTGGGCCTCCCCGGTGGTGCAGCGGTTGAGCGCTGGGCTGCGAAGCTGCCTGCAGCCTCTGCAGCACCGGTTCCATCCCCGGCCGCCGGCAAGGGTCCCACATGGTGCGCAGACCTCTCCTGCAGCCCGCTGCTCCCCTCAGCAGTGTACTTCGTCAGTCTGCCTGCTCTGCTCTCCCCTCTGGCTCTGCTGAATTCTCTCACCCTCCCGCACTTCTGACTCTACCCAGTGCTTGTATAAATAAATAAATAAATCTTTAAAAAAAAAATTAATTCACCAAAAAAAGGTGACGCTAGTGACAGAAAGACCAACTATCAGTCCATTTTAAATTATATACAATCAAAGGACTGGCCTTCACTTTAAGAGTCACCTTCAGGTAAATCAAAGTTGACAGGCCAAAGCAAAGTGTTTGTAAATTCATGTCTGAAAAAGAGAAATGGCTGGGCTAATGTTTTCATGGAGCTTTCTGGTATTCTGTTATCAAGGAGGCAATAGATGAAGAGACAAGACTTTTAGCCTCAAAGATCTCACAGGCACTTTATAATCAGTCAAAATGGAGGCAGAAAAGAACCCTCGGCCTGCAAGGTTTGGTCACTGGTTGTGTGACGCTCTTCGTGAGAAGCTGCTTCTGTTCGCATGGTAACTGGAGCAGAGTTCAAAGATTAGGAAATCTGCATCAGACCAGTTACTCAGAACTGCACAGCTACACCGTGTTCTCTGTTAGGTTAAGGGTGTTCTCGGGGGTACAAATCAATGAAAGTATCATATGACAGATGATTATAACCAGAATGGCTTTTCTTCATTTCCATCAATGGCAGACACAGTCACTGTGAGAAAGGGCGTCTGGGTTCTCAGGTCCTTGAGCTCAGTGACTCACACTCCAGCAGACCCAGGACGACCAGGAGGTCGGCCCTGAGCCCCGACTTTTCAAACATGGCTGCCCACTGAGCGTTACCACAAGCTGTGTGCGCCGCTGACACGGCCTGAGCATTACCTGAGGAGAATATTGACTTTAGGGAAACCTTCCCATTTCTCTCTGCATTCCGGGCACTCCGTCTTCTTCGAAGCGACCCACCACAAAGCCAGGCAGTGCCGGCAGAAGCTATGCCCACAGTTCAAGGTGGTGGGGCTAACCAGGATGTCATAACAGCAGTGGCAAGAAAATTCACTGACAGAAATCTGGGGGCTGGTGCTCTTGAGAGGGTCGTCGTCCTCAAGGCTCTCCGTGTTCGGATTGTTGTGCTGGGACTCCTCCATCTCAGCAAATTCTGGGGTCCACAGGCAGAGAGAATTCTAGACCCCGAGAAGTTCTGCAAATCATCATGAAATCTAGAAAGGGGAGAGCAACAGAACAGGGCAGAGCGTTGGCCAGGTGTTGGAGGTCACTGCTATGCTATTAAAGTTTGGCTTTTTAAACACAACAAATTTGACTTATAAAAAAAAAATTCACATTTCACAAACCAGGTATCTACCATGGCCTTTGTTTTTTGGCACATTTGTCAAAGTCCTGGAAATGAGGGAAAGCAAGATAATGTGGTGGAAAGTTCAATGGGCTTAGAGTGGAGAATTCCAGATCCTTCTCTTTCACTAAACTCTTTTGAAAATCTGATTTCTCTGGGCTCCTTTTTCTCAATTAAATTTCTAAGGTCCTTTCAATGTGTATGGTTTAAAATTAACCAGCTTCTGGGACTACATCAAATTAAAGAGCTTCTGCACAGCAAAAGAGACAATAACAAAAACAAAGAGAAACCCCACCAACTGGGAGAACATTTTTGCACCCAACACTAATGATAAAGGACTGATCACAAAAATCTGCAAAGAGCTGATGAGACTCAACAAAAACAAAGAAAATAACCCAGTCAAAAAATGGGCAGAAGAGCTAAAAAGAAACTTCTCTGAAGAGGAAATGCAAATGGCCAACAGGCATATGAAAAAATGTTCAACATCACTTGTCATCAGGGAAATGCAAATCAAAACTACCATGAGATACCATCTTACACCAGTGAGAATGGCACATATTAAAAAAACTAGCAACAACAAATGTTGGCGAGGTTGTGGAGAAAAAGGAACTCTCCTGCACTGTTGGTGGGAGTGCAAACTGGTCCAACCACTATGGAGAGCTGTGTGGAGATTTCTTGACCTACTAAACATAGAGCTTCCATAGGATCCAGCAATTCCACTCCTAGGTATTTACCCAAAGGACACAGAAACATCAATTCCAAAGAGCACCTGCACCTATGTTTATAGCAGCACTGTTTACAATAGCTAAGCTTTGGAAACAGCCCAAATGCCCAAAAATAGATGACTGGATCAAGAAGATGTGGTACATATACACCATGGAATATTACTCAGCATTCAAAAAAGATAAACACATGCCATTTGCAGCAACATGGATGGCGCTGGAAGGGATCATGCTCAGCGAAATAAGCCAGAAAGAAAAAGAAAAATACCGGATGGTCTCACTCATAGCAGGAATCTAGAAAACTTAAATAAGGGACCAGGAAAACGAATAACTATAAGAAAGTGAAAATCAAAATCAACAAAAAACTATGAACCAGAGACACTTTTTGGGGGTGGGGGGGCGGGAGGGGAGGGATTGGGGTCAGAATGGGGGGGTTGCAATTGTATGGGGAATATAAAAATAAAATTTATTATAAAAAAAAATAAAATAAAATTAACCAGCTTCGTGGCCTAATAAAATGTCTGGAGTTGGCAACAACAGGTATATTTCATGCAAATAATACATCTTAACCAAACAAAGCCGCCTTCCCATTAGGTATTTATTTCTATAAACGTGATTTCAGAGGCTCATGCAGGAGCAGTAGCAAGAAGTGAGGGGCCTTGTTTTCCACGGTGCCCTGTGCCAGGTCACCTCCCTTGTGGCCCAATATGCCCCTTTCCCCCAGATCAATCCCAACAGGCGTGTCATGCCCTCCGGAACTGGGCATCTTGGTGCCACAGAAACACCAATGGCAAAGGACCAGGCTCTTCTTGTTCTCACCAGGTCCTGGGAGGCTCTGATCCGAGTGATGGGATCATGGAATCAGAATCTCAACTCCCCAACTCCAGCCGCGCAGTCGTACAAAGTACCTGAGTACTCAAGTCATCTCGAGGTCTCTGAGCCTCACTTCCTCAGCTGTGAAATGGTGGTGACAGCACAGACCCATCAGGGCTTTTAAGGATTGGAGACAGAGAAAGTGGCTGGAGGGCCAAGGTAAGTCAGGCCTACAATCATTCATACAGATGATCACAGCACAGGTGTCTGGGGCAAGTTTCTCAATCTTGATCTTGCAGTTGGTGAAAACAAAGTATCAATACATCACTCCTGCTCACTCCCTCAGGACTCCTGCTGGGCAGGGCAAGTGGGGGGAGGGGAGTGTTTGAGGCTTTCCTCATGAGCCAGGCCCTCTGCTTCCCAGGTGGTCTTTTCCGCTTCCCAGGTGGTCTTTCAGGCACCCCACCTTGGCCAGCAAGAGTTCCCCACACCCCGCCCCGTGTCCCCCAGAAGTATCCCAGGTCGCCCCTCCACCTGCCAGCACAGCTCTCAAGGGTGCTTCCCTAGTCTCTCTCCCTTTCTTTCTTCCGAGCACCTCCTCCTTCTCCTCTCTTTCTTTCCATTGAATTTGGTGCCAGCACTTTAAAAATCTGATTTCACGTAAAAATCCGGATTACTGGCTTTTGTTGCAAAATTCCAATTTGGCTGCTCACCCTAAGGAACTCGGGGCGAGCTGCTGGTTTGCCAGGGTCCTTGCCCCGTCTTCCTGGCCTGTTACCTGCTGGACCCCAGGGGATGTGTGTGCCTCAGGCCTCATTCCACAGCGCAGGGAAGTCTTCGGAGGCTGTGGATGAGAGTGTGAAGTTTCTAGGTTAACTGACCTCAACGTTAACTGGCCTCGGTGTTAACTGGCCTCAGGCAGAAGCTTTGCAGTGCTCAGCAGATTCTGTGGGTGAAAGGTTCAGGAGGGACCTAAGGGCACCAGCCAAGTCTGAAAAATCTGCCAGCTTTATTCTCATCATATATCCAGAGACATAGCTCAAGCCAGATGGAGTGAGAGTTTGTGGGCTCTTCCCTGAATCGAATATTTCAAGGCCTTAAAGACACTTATTTTAGAACTTAGAGGTAGTATTTTACCTCCTGGTTCTGAGAGACAGTGTGATATCCCTCACTTTTAAAATCAGAAGACGTGTCCTGAGTCCCAGCACCGCTATTTATGAGGCATGAACTTGCCAACAAATTACAGGAGTCCCTGCAACCCCAGGTTTTACTTTCCTCAATTTTAGTTACCCAAATCAATTGCCGCACAATGACATATTCTTAAAGAGTGAGAGACTGCATTGGCATAACTCTTATTACACTATATTGTTACAATTGTTCTATCACTAGTTATTGTTGATACTATCTAATTTCTAAATGAAACTTTATTCTAGGTGGCATGGAGGGGCTAAAACAAAGCATGGATAGGGCAGGGGACTCTTTTTTTTTTTAAGATTTATCTATTTATGCATACAAGAACTGGGGTACAGGCCAGAGGTGCAGAGGGTGAGAGGATTCACCAGAGACAGAGTGGAGAACAGAACAGGCAGACTGACCCAAGTACACTGCTGAGGGGGAGCAGCAGGCGTACTTTGGTCCTTCTGCCTGTTCTGCTCCCTGCTCTGTCTCTGGTGAATTCTCTCACCCTCCCACAACTTTGGCCTATACCCCAGTGCTTGTATAAATAAATAAATCTTAAAAAAATAAAATAAAATGCCAGAGTCAAGAAATGGCATAAAATCTAAGAAAGCACTAACATGGGAACCATGACATGAACACACACACACACACACAACATATAATTGACCTTTTCTGAACTGTTCATGGGTTTGATTTGTTGACATAACTGATAGAAACAATCACTGCAGGCCTCCACGATGGCTCCAACACACTATTACCAGGAACCTTTTCTGTTTACCCAGAGAAACAGCTAACTGATAGGGTAGCGTTGTCTGAATATCTATGGGGGGGGGGGTGAGATGGGGGGGCAGTGGGACACCATAACCTCTTGCTAATTCTATATAATTAAACAACCTGAAGTGGACTTGGCTATTCCTCCCTTGCAAGGAAATGTTATTTGTCTGACTTGGTCAAGTGTTTATTCACCAATTGACCCAGAGGGCTGCAGTCCAGGAGGAGGCGGTGGCTGTTACCTGTTTGATTCTCTAGCCACCCAATGAACCATGCAGTAGAGTCAACTAACACAATCTATTTTATTGAGTGTATCAGAGAAGAATACATTAATTCTGAGCTTAACTGAGAGCTGTCATAGCTTATAAAGATCTCAGTATGTAGAGATGGTTCACTCTGTAGAAACTGTAAGCTTCAAACTGGTTCATTCATCAATGATTACGGTTCTACTTCTTTATTCAACAAAACGCTCATCATGACTATAGCATATACCTAATATTTTGGGAATAATGATTTTAGGGCTAATGCATTGGGATTCCAGCCTGAAAAATACCTTAGTCGTTTCTTAGCTAAGATGCTTATTGCAAGAATAAAATGATTTTGACTTTACTTGGGCCTCTAATTAGGCTATTCGTCCTCATTACGTATTACCTGGCGACAGAATAACAGCTTGATGTATTACTGATCCTTATGTGAAAGGCACAATTCTAAGGGATAATAATTACAATCATCTCCACTTTACAGATGAGACAGAGCCAGGTCTTAAATCCCGGTCTGACTGCCTTCTTTTCCACCCAGATTCCCCAGGGCCCTCCCAGGAGACAGTGTATGGGTGCCACCCCTTCTCATGCTCCTTCGCATTTATTGTGTTGACTTTTGAGGTACAAAATTGGCTTAGGGTGAAGAAGGCGGGCAGTCTTTCATGCCATTTCTTCAGTTCTAATTTACAGACTGAGTGAACAAGGGAAGAAGATTTGCCTTTTCCTCTGTCTGGGAAGATGCCAGGGCGCTGGTGGGCCTGGGAGGAGTAACTAAGATTTGAGTCTATATTGGTTAAAAGGAGGTGTAGCAGGTAATCAAATATGTGAATACCTTCCAGGAAATTTGAAAGGAAAGATGAACTAGAAGCCAGCATTTTAGTAATTTTCTTTTTGTGTGTTTTTCACTGGGCGAGGGGATACCTTCAAAGGATGAGCTTTTTCAGTCTCTCTGAAAATCCCCAAGAATGGCTGTCTTTGGTCATTTCCATGGAAACGGGATGTCAGCTGGCCGGGAATGGCACCCCTGGTGATGCTGAGGCCTCAGTGCACAGTGCCCAGGGGTGCTCTGTGGTCTGAGATCAGGGCAGGAAAACTGCCCACTGCTCTCTGGGCTTAGGTGGCAGCAGTGAGGTGGCATTTGTGCAAACGACACGGTGCCAGGCCCATTCCAGGATATGGATACGGTCACACCCGCTCTTACAGGGCTGTTTCCATATTAAGTTTTCATATTCTTTTCCAATAAGGTCTCGCTGCCTTGACTGAAGAAAAAAAAAGTGGAGAAACTACCCATGCATGATGTAGAGAGCGACTAATTTGTTTTTTAAAAGGGAACTATATGTACGATGTTGCTCTAAAATGTTTTATATATGCTTCAGAGACCTGTAGTAAACTGCATTGATAGTTAAATAAGAAAAAAACCACCATTTGATTTAAAGCCTAGGTTCACAGCACCAGCCTGGTCCGACCTGCCACAGAGCAGCTGCTGCAAAGCTGAGGGACCCAAACTAGGGTAACAAACTGGAACCAGACAATGCTGCATCTGGAAACACATGCATCTGCCTTGGGCTGCTTCTCAGATCACAGAGTGTGCTGTTCCATGAGATAAACCGGCAAAAACCTTCACAATACAGGTAAGGATGGCTGGGAGCACCCCGACTTCTGGCAAGCCAAGTCCACTTCTGGGGACACCACTATAGACACTGGCAGAGGGCTTCCCTGGTGGAGCAAGGGATTGACACAACCTATGACGCTGTCCGCAGCCACTGCAGCACAAGTTCAATCTCCTGCCAGGGAGCAACCCATATGGCATGGCAGACCTCTCCTGTCTCCTTGCCGCTCCCCTCAGCAGTGTATTGCAGTCAATCTGCCTGTTCTGTTCCCCACTCTGTCTCTGGTGAATCCTCTTACCTCTACACTTCCGGCCTGTACCCCAGTTCTTGTGTGCATAAATACATCTTAAAAAAAACCAAAACACCAGCCTTTATGAAATGTCCAGAGTGACCACCCATTTCTAGTGACTAAAATACAAAGAAATGAGCCCCAAAGTAAGCAGGCAAGCACCAGAAGCAGCAATATGAGGACATTATGTGCAGTTTCTGCAGGTGGCAAAGGCTAGGTTTTCGGATTTCCTTCTGCCCACTGTCTCTCTATGAAACAGACTTCCCTGAGTCTAGATTACTTTGTGCCTGTCATAAATGCAAAGAAGTTATTGTCCAGTAGAGTTTTATTTGATTTTGGAAAGTAAATTGTACCCAGAGGAGATATCTGAATACAGTGTTTAGCATTTTTGTTAACAAAAACCCCAAACTGGTTCTTTCAGTAATACAAGGGAAGCGTTCCAGGCTCTCACCTTAAAAAAGCTTGTATTTTTCCACCCCAAATACACAGATTTTCTTTCTTTTTGGGGTCAGAAATCACCAGGGCAAAGGTATCTCACTCATGGGATGTGGATGACTGCCTGAACTTTGAAGCCCAGTGGTTTACTGCCAGTCTGTGGCATTGGACAAGATGAAAGCAAATTGCAAAGGCATCTTGGCTCTCTGTCCTTTTTCGTTCCTGTTATGTAGCACATATTCAAGGACCTATACTGTATTAAACACTGTAGAGGCTCAGCAACACAGAAAGTGATCAAAAGCTACTGGTGATCACCAGAAACCCACACTGTAATTCTCAGTTTTTAATCTGTCATGACTCACATCTTGTAAACTAACATCATTCTCAGGGTTGGCACACTACCATTTGGAGAGTCTCTTTCCTCCCCAACCACTGTGAGTTTCCTGAGGTCAAGAACCAAGCCATAGAATTCTACCATCATGTCTGAGAACAGCTGGCAGAAAGCTGGGCTCCAGATATTTGCAGGTGAAATCAAACCCACAAATATTTGACTCCCATTCACAGTATTTCTTAAAACCCCCAACAGTATCATTTGGGAAATTTCTTGCACCCAAAAAAAAAAGGACGCCTGGGAGAGAGGCCCAGGGGTACACATTTTAAATATGCTGTTAGGATATCACAAGCACGGGGATGTTAGGGAACCAGAGAGCTAGTACATTAAAATAAACACATGCCTAAGCATGTTTCAGACAAGGTATGGACATGGTGTGAACAAAATTAAGTTTAAACAGCACTTCCAATTTCATTTCCTATTCTCTCCAGTCTCTCCTCTGTCCACTGCCTGAATCACCCTCCTGAAGCAAAATTCTGATCAAGCCTCTTCCTTTGCTCAAAACCTTCCTGCCCATGAGAAAAATAAAGTCTGTAGTTGCAAGCCTGTCATTTAAGAATCTTTATGGCCTACCAGCAATCAATGTAACACCAGGGAGGCCAATACAACTTTTAAACTGAAAAGTACAAACTCTGGAATCAGAATGATTAAGTTCAATTCAGTTCCACCAATTACTAGCTGTGTGTGACCTCAGGCAAGTCATTTAACCACTCTGTGCCTCAGTTTCTTTATCTGTATAATGGGGATGTCAATAATAATTGCCTGATAGGGTTGACAGGATAAAATGAGCAGCACAACACTCCGACTAGTGTCTGACAGTGCAATGTGTCAGCTACTACAACTATAGTGATTATCTCTACTACTCTCCTGTTCACACACTACCTTCCAGTCCCACTTTGTAACTCCTGCTCCTTGTGCATTTTCCCATATCACACTGTTCCCTGCACTTGTAACACAGCTCCACACCATTCGAAAAAAAGGATCCAACTGACAAGACCCAAATCCACTGCCACCTGAAAGTCTTCCATCACTAACACCACCCCTCCCGACTCCCCACAAACCAGATTAATCCTTTCTACCTTTGTGCACTAGCAAAACTTTCACATGAGCATGCTTTTTCATCTGGACTATCATGTCCCTGCCAGGCTGGTACAGAAACAATAAGCTCCTAGGGCCTCCCCAGTGGCGCAGTGGTTGAGCGCTGGGTTGCGAAGCTGCCCGCGGCCTCTGCGGTACCGGTTCAATCCCCGGCTGCTCCCCAGCCTCCGCAGGAGGGTCCCACATGGCGCGCAGACCTCTCCTGCCGCCCGCTGCTCCCCTCAGCAGTGTACTTCGGTCCTTCTGCCTGCTCTGCTCCCCGCTCTGGCTCTGGTGAATTCTCTCACCCTCCCACGCTTCTGACTGTACCCAGTGCATGTATAAACAAAAAACAAACAAACAAACAAACAAACAAATAAATAAACATGCCTGTATTTAAAAAAAAAAAAAAAGAAACAATAAGCTCCTAGGGGTGCACTAGACCTGGGTTTCAAATCAGGTTCCATGTATATCCTCCTTGAGCCTCACTTTTTCCATTTATAAGTTCAGGATAATAATATCTACTTTGCAGGAAATTTAAATGGCAAATTCTACTACAGGCACTCAAAAAGAGTCCGCTGTGTGGTCGATTGGTGTGATGAACGGAATTATTGATAATGATATTTACTGAGTTTCCGCTTTATAGGTGGGGCCAGTGCCAAAACTTGGAGCTCAGAAGAAAAAGACAGAGCAGCCCTGGAGGAATACGGTATTTTCAAGTGGAGCCAGGCAGGGAAACACAGCTCCAATAGGCTCAAGTAGGCTGTTTACAGAACAGACGAACAACCCATCCCGCACGTGCACTTTGCGCTGGCTCTGGGGTGTGCCCCGGGAACCGAGCAAAGCGCCTTTCTATTGGCTTTTCTGAGAGTGACATAGAGACAACCCCCAAAGGAGCGACCAATGGGCTTCGGCGGGGAGGACCCAACGGAGACAGCTGCTGGGCGCTCACCCGCACCTCTCCACCAAAGTTGGGGAGCCGCCGCCTTCAGCACTGACAGGACCACCTCCGGCCTCGTCAAAGACGTGCAACTAAATACAGCCTGACTCTCATTTGCTATTTTTAAACTCCCTTTTGCACAGATTCCGATTTCTGAGCCGTGCGCTCGGGATCCCAAGAGCCAGGTCGATCCTAACCCCAGTGATCACAGGAGCCAGTGACCCCCCAGAAACCCAGGGGCTTCACGCTCCCCATTCTGCACGTCCACTGCTCTATTTTCAAACGTGAGCAATCGTTCCTCCTGGAGCAGGCCAGCGCCTTGCGAATCAGCCCTGACGCTCAGCTCAGCCCGGTGTTATCAGACGCTCGATCAATTCTACCCACGCGCAGCGGGAGGCAGCGCCCCGGGTCCCCCCAGGATGCGCAACAGCGATGCTCGCTCCCTCTCGCCCTGCCAGGACCCTCGCGCGCGGCTCCGCCCCTCACCCCGCGGGGACGCAGGTGAGGTCCAGGACCGGCGGCGCCCAGGTGGGGCACCCGCAAAATGATGGGGAGCGCGGCCAGGACAGCGGCTGCCCAGGACCCGGGCCTGGACCTGGGTACCCCGCACACCTCCCCCGAGGCCGTCAGCCACACCGCCCCCACACCCCACACCCCACCCCGAAATCGAGTCCGGCTCGCCCCTCCCCAAACCAGCCTCGCTTACCACTGCGCTCGCCCGGGGCCTCCCCAGCCTGGACCGCAGCCTGGACCCTCGCGGAAGCGGAGGAAGAGGTGGCCGATCCCTCCCGGAAGTAACCGAGGACGAGCACAGAGGAGGGGCCCCGAGTCCGCGACCATAGAGGAGACGCCGTGCCGGCCTCCCAAGCCCCTCCACCCCGCGACCTCCCCGCTGCCTAGAGCGGCCACTCCCTGGCCGCGGACTTCGGCGCATGCGCCCCAGGGCCGGCCCCACCCCTATCTCCTCCTGGACAGACCTGCGGGCAGGATGTGGGCTTTTGGGGCGTCGTGACTGGTCCCTCGGGCGTGTCGTTTAATAGCTAGAGGAAACGGAGTTGCACGGAAGCGGATTTGCACATAATCGAAACTAATGTTTCAAGATCGCAATGTACTCCCCACGTTTCTTTTGCTTTCACTTGTACTCAAACAGCGCCATGGCTAAAGCAAGTTCCATTTGCAATATTGAGTCGAAATTAAAGCGACTTGATCTCACTGCATTTTGACCCATTGAGAATTCATGAGGATTGGCCCTTTTAAATTCTTGGTTTAGAGGCTGTTGAGTCGATCATTTCAGATGACACCCCCCCCCCGCCCCATCATTAAATTGGTAAAAGTAAAAGGACTGGTAATGGCCTGTGCTGGTGTAGAGCGTGTGGACTGCTGTTCTGGAGGGTCATCTGCTAAAAGGTACCAGCATTTTTGTGGATGGTGAAAGAGGCCTAACATGCAGTTTACCATTTTAACCATTTTGATGTGTACAGTCCAGAAACATTAGGTACATTTGTTACCCTCGCTCGAGGTTCTTTGGTCCTTGTCGAGACAGAAATCAAGAGCAGACCAGCAGCAGCAAGCAAAAGGTTTATTCCAAAGGACAACTGCATAGGGTAAGGCTGCCTCAGAGAACAGCACTGTGGTTGCATGGATAGTTCACTTATGGGGGGCGGGCTACTAAAAATGAGGAGTGTTTCTTTTCTTCAGAAAGTGGGGGGGTTCTCTTGTGGCGCAAGCAGTTAAGACACAACCTATGAAACTGTCCGCAGCCTCTGCAGCACGAGTTTGATCCCCCAGCTGGCCAGCGAGATACCCACATGGCGCAGCAGACCTCTCCTTTCTCGCAGGCTGCTCCCCTCAGCAGTGTGCTTTGGTCAATCTGCCTGTTCTGTTTCCCACTCTGTCTCTGGTGAGTCACCCCCCACACCTCTGGCCTGTACCCCAGCTCTTGTATGCATAAATAAATAAAATCTTTAAAAAAAAAAAGAAAGGGAAGGGTTTCTCTGGGAGTGGAAGTGCCTCCCTTTTTCCTGCACTTTGGAGATGTCCTATTCTTTTATCAGAAAAGATTGTGTTGGGAGGGGGGGTTGGGATTGGGTGTCTTTAGGGTGGGGTTAGTGACCACCTTCTTCCCTGGGGCTGGGATGTGGTTAGCAGTTAGCTTTCTCACTCCAGGTGGATGTGTAAGCAGGATGCACCTGCAGCTTGCAGCCAGCAGCTGGCAGCAAGCAGACAACAGTCCTTCTACCCTACCTCACATTCACATTGTCCTGCAACCTTTACCGCTACCCATCTCCAGGACTTTTTTCATCTTTCCAAACTGAAATCCCACACCCATTCAACAAAACTCCCCATGGTCGATTTCCAGAGTATCTGCCAACCAGCACTCTACTTTCTGTTTCAGTAATTTTGACTACTCTAGCACCACCTATAAGAGAAATCAAGCAGTATTTGTCTTTTGCGACTGGCTTAATTCACTTAGCATAATATCCTTGAGATCTATGTGTCACAATGTCCCTCCTTTTTAGGTCTGAATAATATTCCATTGCATATGTCCTGTATATCCCATTTTATTTGTTCATCTGTTGATAGACACTCGAGTTATGTCAACCTTTTGGCTACTGTGAATAATGCTGCTTGGAATATGAGTATATGATTACAGGTTTCCCTGGGTATCCACTGGGGATTGGTTCTATCACACCCCCACCTACTCTGAAGTCCCCATACCAAAAGCAATTGGATCCTTAAGTTCCTTTTATAAAATGGTGTGATATTTGCATATAACCTATGCACATCCTCCCATATACTTTAAGTCATATCTAGATTACTATTAAATAGTTGTTAGACTATATTGTTTAGGAATTAATGATAAGAAAAAATGTTTGTTTATGTTCAGTACAGACACAACCATTGTAGGTTAACCCGCAGCATATGAATTTGCAAGTTGAGGTTGGTTGAATTGGTGTATGTGGAACCATAGACCTGGAAGGCTGACTGTAAACTGTTCCTAGTCTCTCCTTTCACTTCTTTTGTGTGTGTGTGTGTGTGTGTGTGTGTGTGTGTGTGTTTAGAGTGGAATCGCTTGATCATATAATTCTATGTCCTTTGATACACAGATGTTTTAAATTTTGAGGTAGCCCTTTCATCTATTTTTTTTGTTGTTGCTTGTGCTTTTGGTGTTATATCCAAAAGATCATCAAAAAGCCCAATGTTATGAAGCTTTGGCTTATGTTTTAAGAATCTTATAAGTTTAGCTCTTTTTTAAAAAGATTTATTTATTTATGCATACAAGATCTGGGGACAGGCCAGAGATGCGGGGGTGGAGGGGTGAGAGGATTTACACCAGAGACAGAGTGGGGAGCAGAACAGGCAGACTGAGTGAAATACACTGCTGAGGGGAGCAGTGGGCAAGACAGGAGAGGTCTGCTGTGCCATGTGGGTTGCTCCCTGGCCAGCCGGGGATTGAACTCGTATTGCAGAGGCTGTGGATTGCTTCATAGTGCAGTGCTTAACCCCTTGCGCCACCAGGGATTCCCTAGTTTTAGCTCTTCCAGCAGGTGTTTGACCCATTTTTTAAAAAGAATTTATTTTTATTTATGCACAAGAACTGGAGTGTAGGCTAGAGGTGTGGGTGGCAAGAGGATTCACCAGAGGCAGAGTGGTGAGCAGAACAGGCAGATCGACTGAAATACACTGCTGAGGGGAGCAGTAGGCGAGACAGGAGGGGAGGAGAGGTCTGCTGCACCAATTTGGTCAGCTTCTTGGTGGGGGATCAAACTCATGCCACAGTGGCTGGCGATCACTTGAATGCACTGAGACTTTAACCCGTGTGCCACCAGGGAGGTCCCTGTTTGATCTTTTTTGAGTTAATTTTTAGTTTTTAAAATTTTTTTAAAGATTTATTTATTTATACAAGAACTGGGGAACAGGTCAGAGGTGCGGGAGGGTGAGAGAATTCACCAGAGACAGAGTGGGGAGCAGAACAGGCAGACAGACCAAAGACACTGCTGAGGGGAGCAGCGGGTGAGTCAGGAGAGGTCTGCCGTGCCATGTGGGTTTCTCCCTGGCAGGCCAGGAATCGAACCCACACTGGAGAGGCTGCAGACAGCTTCACAGCACAGTGCTCAACTCACTGTGCCACCGGGGAGGCCCTTGAGTTAATTTTTAGATGGTATAAGGTAAGGGTCCAACTCCATTCTTTTGCATGTGGATATTAAGTTTTCCTAGCACCATTTGTTGAGAAGACTTTTTTTTTTAATGAAAAATGCATTATCTTTTTTTTCAGGTTTATTTATTTATACATACAAGAGCTGGGGTACAGGCCAGAGATGTGGGTGGGGGAGAGGGTGAGAGGATTCACCAGAGACAGAGTGGGGAACAGAACAGGCAGACTGAGTGAAATATACTGCTGAGGGGAGCAGAGGGTAAGACAGGAGAGGTCTGCTGTGCCATGTGGGTTGCTCCCTGGCTGGCTGGGGATTGAACTTGTGCTACAGAGGTTGCAGATTGCTTCATAGTGTGGTGCTTAACCCCTTCCATCACCAGGGAGGCTGGAGACAACTATCTTAAACCTATTGAATGATCATGGTATCATCATTGCAAATCATTTTAGCATATACAAAAGCTGTTTTTTTTTTTTAAGTTTTTTTTTTAATATTAAATTTTATTTTTATATTCCCCCATACAATTGCAAACGCCCCATTCTGACCCCAATCCTTCCCCTCCCGCCCCCCACCCCCCAAAAAGTGTCTCTGGTTCATAGTTTTTTGTTGATTTTGATTTTCACTTTCTTATATTCATTTTCCTGGTCCCTTATTTAAGTTTTCTAGATTCCTGCTATGAGTGAGACCATCCGGTATTTTTCTTTTTCTTTTTGGCTTATTTCGCTGAGCATGATCCCTTCCAGTGCCATCCATGTTGCTGAAAATTGCATGTGTTTATCTTTTTTGAATGCTGAGTAATATTCCATGGTATATATGTACCACATCTTCTTGATCCAGTCATCTATTTTTGGGCATTTGGGTTGTTTCCAAAGCTTAGCTATTGTAAACAGTGCTGCTATAAACATAGGAGTGCAGGTGCTCTTTGGAATTGATGTTTCTGTGTCCTTTGGGTAAATACCTAGGAGTGGAATTGCTGGATCATATGGAAGCTCTATGTTTAGTAGGTCCAGAAATCTCCACACAGCTCTCCATAGTGGTTGGACCAGTTTGCACTCCCACCAACAGTGCACAAGAGTTCCTTTTTCTCCACATCCTCGCCAACATTTGTTGTTGCTAGTTTTTTTAATATGTGCCATTCTCACTGGTGTGAGATGGTATCTCATGGTAGTTTTGATTTGCATTTCCCTGATTACAAGTGATGTTGAACATTTTTTCATATGTCTGTTGGCCATTTGCATTTCCTCTTCAGAGAAGTTTCTTTTTAGCTCTTCTGCCCATTTTTTGACTGGATTATTTTCTTTGTTGTTGCTGAGTCTCATCAGCTCTTTGCAGATTTTTGTGATCAGTCCTTTATCATTAGTGTTGGGTGCAAAAATGTTCTCCCAGTTGGTGGGGTTTCTCTTTGTTTTTGTTGTTGTCTCTTTTGCTGTGCAGAAGCTCTTTAATTTGATGTAGTCCCAGATGTTTATCTTTCTCTTCACTATCACTGCTTTGGGTGATGTGTCTGTAAAGATGTCTTTGATGTGCAAATCCCGTAGTGTTTCGCCTATATTTCCTTCTATGTATTTTATGGTTTCAGGTCTTATGTCTAGTTCTTTAATCCATTTTGAGTTGATTTTTGTGTATGGTGTGAGGTAGTGGTCAAGCTTCATTCTTTTGCATGTAGCGACCCAGTTTTCCCAGCACCATTTATTGAACAAACTTTCTTTGCTCCAATGCATAGTCTTTGCTCCTTTGTCAAAGATTAGTTGACCATAAATCTGTGGGTTTATTTCTGGATTTTCTATTCGATTCCATTGGTCTGTATGTCTGTTCTTGTTCCAATACCATGCAGTTTTGATGATTATGGCTTTGTAGTAGAGTTTGAAGTCTGGGAGTGTGATGCCTCCATTTCCTTCCTTTTTTTTCAGTAGAGCTTTGGCTATTCGGGGTTTTTGGTGATTCCATATGAATTTCATCAATAATTGTTCTATTTCTTTGAAGAATGCCATTGAGATTTTGATTGGAATAGCATTGAATCTGTATATTGCTACAAAAGCTGTTTTTTTGACCCTCTATTCTATTTGTCTCTTTGTCTTTCTTTGTGCCAGTACCACACTGTTTTGATTACTGTAGTTCTGCAATAAGTTTTGATAATTGTTTAATTTAAATTACTTAACATTGTGGCCACATGTGGATAGTACTTACTAAATTAGACTTTTAAGTTGAAAGAACAAGGCCGAGAGACATTTCAAGCTTGAGGTTTGACTACTTTGATTAAAACAAACCCCAAAATTCAACTGAGTAAATTCTTAAGATTTTATTCGTTTTATTTAATCATTCATGAATTGGGTAGCATTCCATATAGCAAACAGAAAGGTGCTCTAGGGAGCTGTACATAGTAACAAGTATTTATTGGCAGACAAGAGTGGACAAGGAAAGAACAAATTGTTGGTAGCAAGGATGGCAGGGGCCAGGTAGGCAGCTTACTTCACTGAAGCTGATCAGGTGATTCCAAATTCATTGGTTCAAGATTACATTTCTGAGATAGGATGAAACTATAGTTAAGTTAGCTTTGGTGATATGGGGCTTAGCACAAATGACTCCATTTTGGACCTGTTATCTCTCTTTTTTAAAGGAATACATGTTATATTGGTTTCCTCTCTCCATTCTCTCTTTATTCTGGAATCTACATTCACTCTCTGTTGCCCACCCTTGGGATAGTGGGCATACTTACCTCTATGTAAATTTCTACTCATGAGACAAAGAGAGTGGACTCATGGGACCTGGTGGGAAAAACATGGCCAAACTGATTTGTTCTTTAGTGCAATTAATTCCTTTTGGGGGGGGGGAGGGGGATGTGGTAATCTTCTTTTCAAAAAACACAAGTGCTTTGTGCTCAAATTGCAGTTCTCTTAAGCCCAAAAGGTGTGAATGCAGAGAAATGGAATAGCAAGCCAGAATTCTAATTACATATTTACTTGTATAATTCGCATGCATAATCACCACTGATTGCCACACAGTTCCATTCACTGGGTGGAATTTGAGGTTTAGGAAGGGCACATTATGTTCCAGAACAGTGAACGGTGGAGCCAGCCTTTGAAAGTTGGTCTTCTAACCAACCAACCATACTCAATTTTGGCAAAAGACCAAGTGAATTCATTGATTGAACCCATGGTTAGAGGACTACTCAGTGTCAACACAGTTGCAGGATGGGGGCAAACCTCAAACCAAATTGAAACTCCTTTAAGCAAGACCACCACAATATTCCCAGGGGCCAGTGCAGTAGATCAATATCTCAGCTCTGCTTTCCCCATCAAGTCTCCAAGTAACCCTTCCTCCCATTGTTACTGCAGCCACTGTTCTTCCTTCCCTAGTCATTATTTTTTTTTAAAGATTTATTTATTTATGCATACAAGAGCTGGGGTACAGGCCAGAGGTGTGGGGGTGAGACGATTCACCAGAGACAGAGTGGGTAACAAAACAGGCAGATTGACCAAAGTACACTGCTGAGGGGAGCAGCAGGTGAGACAGGAGAGGTCTGCTGCACCATGTAGGTTGCTCTCTGCCCGGCAGGGGATCGAACTCGTGCTGCAGAGCCTGTGGCTAACCCCTTGCGCCACCAGGGAGCTCCCCCTACTCACTATTTTTGCATGTGCCAAGTTAGATTCCTGCCTTCCTTTTCTTTCTCCCTCCCTGTTAAGCTCCAAAGGGGGCAGCAAGCTTGCCTTGTGTTTTCATCACTGTCTCCCCATCTCATTCAAAGTGCCTGGCCCATAATAGGAAGCCAGGAAATACTCGTTCACCGATTGGGTATCAGATCAGGCCTGCTTCTTGCAAGCCATGCCCCAAGTCCTCGCTGCTTTGCAGCTTGCGAGCCAGGCCACGCCCCCGAGGCCGGGGGACCTACCCCTCTCCTAGCTCCGCCCCTCACTGGCTCCGCCCCCGGCCCCGCCCCGCCCTGGCCCCGCCCCCGCGGCTGACGCAGGCGCACGAGCCGCGCGCTGGCGGCGCTGTTTCCGGCACTCGCCGCCGCGGTCCCCGCCGCTGTCCCCCAGCCGCGGCCGGACTCTGCGCGTGGAACGGCGGAGGCGGCCCGCGCGGGGCCGGGGGTGCGGCCGCTCGCAGCATGGAGATAATCAGAAGCAGTGCGTGCACCCCCCAGGCAACCCCAGACTCCCCTCACCCGGCCTGTTAGGCCCCAACCACGGCCCGTGTGCTCAGCTGGGCCTGGGGCTGAGGCAGCTCCTTGGGGGGTCGCCTCCCCGAAGCCCCCCGGGAGACCTGCCCCCCTCTGGCCCGTGCACCCCTAGGGAGCCCGTCCTCCGCCTGCCCGGACACCCTCTCGGGCCTTGTCACCGCCGATCCGTGCACCTTCAGGGCTTGTCCCCCCACCCGGCCGGACACCCCGGGACTTGAGTCCCTGCCCTCTGGGCGGCCCCCCAGGACTTGTGCTCAGCCCCTTCTTTCCCCGCTCAGCTGAGGCCCCTGTGGGCAGGAAGCCAGGCTACGGGTTCTAAGCCTCTTCTCGGTTTCTCCGCAGATTTTAAGAGTAATCTTCACAAAGTGTACCAGGCCATAGAGGAGGCGGACTTCTTCGCCATCGATGGGGAGTTTTCAGGTACCCCTCGTTGCAATGCATGGCCACGGCTCTTCTGACCCCCTAATCCCCCCAGTGTCTGCTGGCCACTCCTCCCTCTGTCGCCTTGGGCGACCTGCCCAGATGCCTCACTTCCTTTTAAACCTTGCAGAGGTCGGGGAGAAATGCTGTGGGTGTGTGATGGGTTCAGTTCTGAGGTTGAAGACAGAGATTATGGTTTTGGTGCTGCTCTAGTTTGACATGTTTGCAGTAGGAAAGCTTGAGGGTCAGTCTTTTGTGTGTGTGGTGAAATGATACATGACGTGAAATGGACCAGTTTCACGATTTTCTTTTTTTAAAAAATTATTTATTTATTTAAAGCTTTATTTATTTACACAAGAACCGGGGTACAGGCCAGATGTATGGGAGGGTGAGAGGATTCACCAGAGACAGAGCGGGGAGCAGAACAGGCAGATTGAAATACACTGCTGAGGGGTGCTGCCCTCTAGACAGGAGAGGTCTGCCATGCCATGTGGGTATCTCACGGCTGGCAGGGATTGAGCTGGCACTGCAGAGGCTGTGGACAGCTTCCCAGTGCAGCGTTCAACTGCCTACGCCACCAGGGAGGCCCCTTGCTTCACTATTTTCAAGTGAGTTTATAGTTTGGTTCAGTGGCATTAAGCACATTGACAGCATCATACAGCCACCTCCGCCATCCACCTGCAGAACTTTTTCATCTTCCCAAACTGAATCTCCCTGCAGGAGCTCCCCGTCCCTCCCTTCTCCAGCTTCTCACAGCCTAATTCTGTTTATGCATTTGATTACTCTGAGCCTAAATGGTCCTTTGGTGACTGACTTTAGGGTCATGTTTTTGCAGGTAAATGAGGATGTGCCATTATGCATTTTTGGAAGTGTTCATTTTCTACTTTGGCGGGGATGTGTATGTGCGTTTAATACTTTAGCAGCACTTAAAATCGCAAGTTTTTTCCCTATTTTTTTCTTTGGCATAAAGAGTAATTTTAAATTGTATGAACTGTATGAGCGGTTGGCTTCCTTTGAGATAGGTATCCAACTTTTGCTTCCTGATTTTACACGTGTAAAAAACTCTTTAGCTCCTTCTAAAGGAATCCCTGCTTGGGGTAAAGTCGATCCTTGACTTTAACCGTGTGGTTTCTAGTTGGAGTCAGTTCCCTCAGAAGCTAAGTTTTCAACAGAAATAATTTCAAATTGACTTTGAAAATACTTTGGTTGTTTAGATGTTACTCCAAACTGTTGACCCATACAGTGTTCTCACAACAGTGTACTTTGGGATTCTTTTGAAAGAATTCCATTGTTCAATGTCCAAGATTGTTTTCTCATGTCATTACAATGTTTGGAAATCTATTGTAGACACTGGAACTGCCCATTCTCAAGTTGAATCACTCATTTCTCTGTATTCATTCTTGTAGGGTTTAACTTGATGGCCAGTGAGATTAATGCTAATTTCAAAGAAGTAAGGAGCACTGCCAATTAACCTTAATTCATAGGAGTATGAAATTGTAGAGCCAGTGAATATTTGGTTGACATTTTTCCATTAGCATTTATTAATGAATCAAAAACTTCTTAAAATCTAGGTATCAGTGATGGCCCTTCAGTTACCACATTAACAAATGGTTTTGACACTCCAGAAGAAAGATATCAGAAGCTTAAAAAGGTGAGTGTTTGCTGCAAAACGTTTTCGGGAAGATTTAGTAATTTTACTTTAATTTGATTGTTGAGAAGGTGTAGTTATTTTAACATTTGGAAATAGGCCTAATACGATGCTCTGGAGGGTGGCTAAATACTTAATTGGGAAAATATTAAGAGACACATATAAATTAATAATGCTTCTGATACACAATATACAATCTGTTATTTTTGGAAGTAATCTGCCCAAGTCACAGTGAGCAATCAAAAAGGGCCACCTTGGGGCTTCTCTGGTGGTCTAGGGGTTAAGTCTCAGTGTTATCACTGCTTTGGCCTGAGTTCGATCCCAGGCCAGGGAGCTGAACTACATGGCACAGCAGACCTCTCCTGTCTCGCCCACTGCTCCCCTTAACAGTGTATTTCAGTAAATCTGCCTGTTCTGCTCCCCACTCTGTCTCTGGTGATTCCCCTCACTACCCCCCTCCCCCAAACCCCCACACACCTCTGGCCTATACCCCAGTTCTACGCAAAGTAAAAAAAAAAAAAGAAAAAGAAAAAACAAAAAAACCACTTAACTGAGAACACTGTTGCTCGAATTTAATATACACTGTTTTGACAGATGTTTTATTTCCTTTTTCCAGCATTCCATGGACTTTTTGCTGTTTCAGTTTGGCCTTTGCACTTTTAAATATGACTACACAGATTCAAAGTAGGTTTCTTAACAAATGGATGGTATTTTGTTGTGGTTGTTATGGCATAACATGACCCTCTAAGTCTCCTTGATCTTATTTACTCAGGTATATAACAAAGTCATTTAACTTCTACGTTTTCCCGAAACCCTTCAATAGATCCTCACCAGATGTCAAATTCGTTTGTCAGGTTAGTAGCATAATTGAGTTTTCTTTCTTTTGTGATTTGCTGATGAGACAGTGTGGAAATGTGCAACCCAGAGGGTGTTGAGTGGAAAATAGAGAGCTTCACAAGGGGAATAGATGAATCTTTGACTCTGGGTTTAAGAAAATGATGGAAATTAGGATTTTTGGGAGGTCTAGTGACAGGAGGGACACAGGGGCTTTCCAGGATCCTTCTTTTGTTTCTCTGTCCATGGTGAAATGTTGAGGTGCTCAGAATTATACTCTGGCCTGGTGGACGGGAAAGGGTCTTGGGGTCCAAGTCAGAAAAGTATAAAAAGGGAAGACGAGCAGCATGGGAGGGGAAGGTTGGTTGTTTTAAACCCTTGACAACCTGGAGTGATAGAAAATGATGCACCCAGGTTTGTGTGTGTGTCTGTGTTAAGGTTGCCTTTTGATATTCTACTGCTTTTTAAAGGGAATTTGTGTTGGAGAATAAAGATACATACAGTTTTTACCTTTTAGCTGAGGATTAAACCTTCTAGAGAGTTAAATTTTTCAAGATTAACATTTGAAAAATGAGTAAACAGATTGGAAGAAAAGAAAAATGAGGGTATGATCACTCTGGTATGATTAGAAGACAGGATTGTGCCAAAGAAAGTCTCAGCTATTTGTCTCTGAGCCTCCAATCAACAAAGAAAAGGGGAGAACACACGGAGGAACCCCACAAGCCTAGCTTCTCTCAGTCTAGACACTTCAGCACATTTACGAACACTGGCTTGAGTCTGGTGAGACGGTACCCTGTCCCCCAGGCTAGGCTGGAGGTATCATGTCCAAGGACCGTTCAGGAGAAGTGGTTCTGTGAGGGCCCAGGCTAAGAGGACTTCTGTGTGTTCCCCTCAGATGTTCTGATGTAAAACAGGAAGAAAATCAGAGCAGCTACAGTAGTGAGTCCCTCTCTTCAGTCAGGTTGGGTAAAAACTTTATGACTTTGCCATTCTCATTTACTTGTTTTGAAGTTTACCGCAACATTTCAAATCCCCCTAGGTATTAGATGTGTTTAATGAGTAATTCTTGTTACCAGAACTTTTCTCTGTGTTGATCCTGAATATAAAGAACATCCAGCTAAGATCTTGGGTTCTTAGACTCTGATTTGAGGTGGATTTTGCTGTCTCTTAACTTGCCCGTGAGAGCCACCTTAAACTTGAACCTGGGGTGGTTTATATAATACATTTTCTATTTTTAGTATAATCAGTAAAGAGATCAGGAATTTCTCTGTCTGTTGGTAGAATAGCTGCTCACCCAGTGGACTTTTCTTAAATATTGTGAGACAAAGGAGATTGGTATTTTAAGTTTTAAAGAAAGGCCCCCAGAGGGTTTCCGTGAATTAATGGTCTATTTGGCAGCTTGGGGGTAGAATCCTTTCCCCTTAACAGGTCGCTGGTGCTCCCTTGTCTGTTCGCCTTTGATTATTCGCCTGAGTTACTTGTCCGCTTCACTGCACATACCTGCCACTGCCACGACCATCACCGAAATGTTTGTTCTGTTTACTCTTGTTTCAGAGCTCCAGCATCGACTTTCTAGCAAGCCAAGGATTTGATTTTAATAAAGTTTTTCACAATGGTAAGATTATCTGTGACTTGACTTTGAAGTTTGTAAATCTGGATTTGGTTGAGAATTCTTTTTGTGCCTGCCACCTGAGACAGAATCTCAGAGTTCCAGCATCCTTTAGCCTTTTAAAAAATTCTCTTAAAGCTTAGCCAGCTGTGAACTGGAGAGTAGAAGCTACTTCTTTGAGTTCTAATGAGGCCTCTTAAGCTCATGAATTTACTGGACTTTATTCCACCACTGGGGTGACTTAGTTGCCTCAAGGGCCACCTGCGGGATATGCTTCCCTGTTTTCTCTCAGCGAAGCAAGTGGCAGTGAACTTTAAAAGTTAGGGTATTCTAGTGACACGGTCATGAAAAGCTCCCTTTCCGGCTGCTGCTTGTTTTATCATTGCACAGTGGCTCAGTTTCTCATGGGTGAAAAAGTCTACATAGATAGAGCCACACTCATTGGGCAGACTAATTGCTGGTGTGGGTCTGGTGAACTCCCTGAGGAAGGAGACTGTGCTCTCCCCTTCCATAGCCCCAGTGTGTGGGGCTGTATCAAGGAGGTGAGTGTTGACTGTTTGATGAATGAATACTAGACATTAGTGCAGTAGTGCATGCCAGACTGGATTTCCTTCCTTTACTTCCTGAAAAGTGTTTGGGAAAGCCTTCAATTTTTCCAATAATATTCAGCCTATGGCCTTATAAGGTTGATAACTGCTTTTTAGAGTAATTATTCTCATACATTGTATTTTCCTTGGTGAATATAAAATTATTGAGTGAGGTAAGGTAGAAATTTTTTTTTCTCAATGAAAGAACTAGAACATAGGCTTCAAATAAATGGTCTTTCCCTTGGTATGGTCTTTTGGTGAGGCCAGAACCCCTGCCGCAGGCCATATTGTTTTCTTGCTTTAGTGGTGCTACCTCTTAATTTCTTTTTTTTTAAAAAGATTTATTTATTTATTTATACAAGAACCGGGGTACAGGCCAGATGCATGGGAGGGTGAGAGGATTCACCAGAGTCAGTGGGGAACAGAACAGGCAGAGTGACAAAATACACTGCTGAGGGGAGCAGTGGGAGAGACAGGAGAGGTCTGCTGCGCCATGTGGGACCCTCGCTGGCCAGCTGGGATTGAATCGGCACTGCAGAGGCTGCAGACAGCTGCACAGCTCTGAGCTCAACTGCCTGCGCCACCAGGGGAGGCCCTGCCTCTTAATTTCTATGGATAATTGTGATTTTGGGAAATACTAGAAAAGAATGTTTGAAGCCAAAACTGCTTAAGATAGTCGGTGAACCATATGGGTGACACAATTTGGGTATTAGAAAAGAATGTTTTTTCCTTTGGCACATACTTGACTCTAAACCATTATAAATGTGCACTCTAAATTTATTTAGAGAACTCCTTTGGAATAAGTGCAAAGTTTTTGAAGGAACTGGTTCAGGCAGACTCAGATGCTTAGTTTCCTGATGTTTTTTTTTTTCTTAAAAAACTAAAAGAGAAACTGCCCAATTGGAGTGCACCTCATTCTCATTGTCTTGGGATATTTTAGTCACCACCGGATGGGCACTCTGAGGTCATCTGTTAGGACCAGGACTCTTATCCCAAGGCTGTTGTTGATACTTTTGAAACCTGATCCAGGACTACTTTTCCTGACCAAATCTTGCCACTCAGGCTCCGTCGGTGCCAGGCCCTTTCTTCTGGTGGTCTTCTCAGAAGTGCCTTAGACTTCCTTATCTGAAGTGGACAGGTGACTCTCCTTGTTATGTCCCCCCTGCAACCCTCTGACATGCAGGTGCTTTTACCTCTCTATTGCCCGCCAGGCAGGGGTAGGCATCCTTGTTTTCCTGTGCCACTTTCAACCCACTTGAATCTCGTCTTCTACAGAAACCAGAGCTCCCAGGGCTGTGTCCCTCTCTCTCTGCTGACCTCATAGGCCTGCATTCCCTGACAGCCTTAGCTTTGGCTTCTTTCTCTCTGATCCTTTCTGTCTCCTTATTATAGATGATGTCTGCCGGCATGACCAGCGGATGTGCTGTCTCATCTGTTTCTTGACCAGGCAGTAACCAGGCTCTGCTTCTGCCTCCCTGAGTGTTTCCACCATTGGTAGCATTGTGCTTCTTGTCACCCCTGCACGTCAGCGTTTCTGAGACCACGACTTCTTGTACTTCTCATTTACTTACCCTAGTACCTCACCGCAGCAGTCTGTTGACCTTGATTGCTTTTTTACTCTGTTACTTTCCCCTTCTCTGTCTTGACACCTCTCCTAACCCACATGGTCCATCACTGTTCTTCCTTCCTTCCCTTGCTTTCTCTCCCTCCATTGCATTTGGCCTGGCAGATCCCAACCCTGGATGGATCTGACCACCCCCCGGTCTCTGTGTCTGAGCACCTGAATATTGCTGGAAAACATGGCACAGCTGAGCTAATTTGTCATTCTAAGTTCATGGCCACAAGCTTCAAATAAGCACACAGTCATGCTCAAAAATCCTACTTTATGACTCAGAAATTCCCTTTCCAATTCTCTTACATGTCTTTTTTTAACCACTTCTTTCTCCAAACCTCCCACCCCAGCCGATGACCTTATCTTTCCAGCAGAAACAGAAGCCCACAGAGAGGAGCTCCTTCGTGTTCTCACCCACAGATCCACAAATCTACCCCATCTGGGCCCAGTCTTTTTGCTTCTTTCCTTTATAGTAAAGAGGAGTCCCTGTCTCCATGTCAAGCGCTGACTCCTCCAGTGTGCCTTCTGTCCTGCATTATTTCCTCTTCTTTACTGGATCATTCCCACCAGTCTTTACTAACATGGGTTAAGTGCAGAGCTTCTTAACCTAGTCCATGGGCTGCCTTTTCTGCTCATTTACTTACCCTAGTACCTCACCATAGCAGTCTGTTGACCTCGATTGCTTTTCAATCTGTTACCTTCCCCTTCTCTGTCTTGAAACCTCTCCTAACCCACATGGTCCATCACTGTTCTTCATTCCTTCCCTTGCTTTCTCTCCCTCCATTGCACTTGGCCTGTTTCTTCCTCTTCCCCTCCCGCTCCACCTGGACTCCCTTCTGCTGACAGGGACTGGGCGGCTTGCTTTGTTCTTACACCCAGTGGCCCCCTCTTTGTCCTCATCCCACCTTTTGATAGAATTTGATGCAGTTGATTATCCCCTGGTGCCTTCTGGACTCTTCATACTCCTGCTTTCCATCCCACCTACTCTTGACTCCTCTGTCTCCTGACATGTTCTTCCTGCCTCACCAGCTTCTAAGAATTCCTTTTCCTGGTTGGTCTTAGATGATTTCACCTTGCTTATTTTTATTTTAAAATTTGTGCTTGGATATCACTTCAAGCTTCCATAATTGTTGCTGCACAAAGGACTTCTGGATCCCCTCCCTCTGCTTCACCAAGTGCTGGCCTTGTACTGGGCTCACCTTGTCACTCTTTCCTTACATACGTGTGTGTGTGTGTGATTTTTCTCCTCAACCATTTTAGAGTCATAGACTTGATGTCCCTTTGTCCCTGATTACTTCAGTATATGTCCTAAAAACAAGAGCATTCTCTTACACTCTACCACAGCTCAGTCATCCAGTTGAAGAATTGATGCTGCTACAGTGCAGTCACCTCATTTACAAACCTGATGTTAGTTTTGCTCCTTAGAGTAAAAGAAAATCCCCCTGGTCTGGTTCATTGCAGGACCACACCTTGCCTTTAGTTGTCATATCATGTTGCTTATTAAAAATTCAGAAGTTTCTTAGCTTGTCTTTGATTTCCTTTTCTTTCTTCTAGTTCGTTATTTTTTTCTTTCCTTTTTTAAAAATTGAGGTAACATTCATTTGGAACATTGTGTACTTTTCAGCTGTACAGTGTCTCACCTCCACAACTGAGTATATCACCCCACACCCACCACTGATGTCCAATCTGTCTTTGGACAGATTGTCTTTACAATCTGTTAATTGTCATAAGATAACAATCTTATTAATGCCTTGACTTTTTTGCATAGCGGAGGCCAGTCACTTTGTAAATTGCCTTTCCTGATATCCTCAAATAAGCCCAAATGCCCTCACTCATTTGGACAGGAATATGACAAATGAGTGTGTGAGCTTCTCCAGATACCGTCAGGAGACCATGATGTCCCCATGTCCCGTTACTGCTGATGGTAACTCTTACAATACACATAAAAATTACCATCTTAACCATTTTTGAGTGTACATTTCAGAGGCATTAATTTCATTTAACTATTGATGACTTTTTTAGCCAATTAGTTTTCACAGCCACTGATGATTCCTGCTTAAAACAATCATTGTCTTTGGTGAATGGTGATTTTCTAATTTCATTCTTCTTCAAGTTTGTTCATGTCTGTGGCTTTTAAGGTCAGGTGTGTCCTGATGAGACCTGCGTTTATATGTTAATACCTTTCTCTTGAGTGATAGGCTTTTGATTTTCATCACTTGTGCCCTGGCCTATTCTTTGCCTAGTTTTCTGGGGAAACTAATAAGTGGCCAATCACCATTTTCCCAGTTGCTTAAACCCAATAGCTAGGTGTCATTTTTGGCTTTTCTTTTGCTTTACCTCTGACCAAACCTCCAGTATATCAGCAAATTCTCTCTCCTATCTCTGAAAACATTCGCGCCATCTTTAGAGCCTAAGCAAGTGTAACAAACTATGACCTGCTGCCTTTTCCATAAATCTAGTTTTATTGGGATACAGTAAGTGTTACAACCAGGCTGTTCACTTACTTGTCATGAGGACTGTTTTTGCATTACAGGAGCAGAGTTGAGTGGTTGCTGCTGAGATCACCACATGCCCCACAAGCTTAAAACATTTACTCTGTCACTTTTGAGAAAAGGTTTGCTGACCTTGCATCTGGACAATTATGACTTGCTTGGACAATTGCAGTGGACAGTTGCTGCTAACTGACCTCCCTACTTCAACTCTCATAAGAGTCAAAATGGTCTTTTAAAGGCAGATAATGTAATGATCTTGTTTAAAACCTTCTAAGGGTATCCCAGTGCTCTTAGAAGAAAATAAACTCTTATTGTAGTTGGTGAAGGACCTGTGTAATCTCGATCCAGCCTCTCAAACCCGAGGTTTGCCATTCTGCTCACTGTTTCTGGCCATATCAACTTCTTGGCTGTTTTTGAAACAGTCTAAGCCATTTCCATCCTCCGGGCATTTATACTTGTTCCTCTGCCTGAAACACCGTCCCCCTAGCTCTTTGCATGTCTGATCCATTCTTACCCTTTGAGTCTTCCTCACAGTGACCTCTGATCACCCTCTCTGACATCGTTCCCTCTGTTATGGAGCAGAATGTATCTCTTGTTCACTGTTAGGTCCCCATGTCTGATCTGGTGCCTGTCACAGAGTGTATGCCCAGTAAATATTTGTTGAAAGAATGAATGAGTGAGTGAAGGCACAGGCAAACAGATTTCAAAATCATTTGCATTTTCTCTTCTTTTTTAGAGATTACATTCTGATATGGCAAGTCTTCTCTGAGTATTTTAGATGTGTTTTAGAGTTTAACATTTTCATATGTTAAACAGTTACTTCTGCTGATGTATTCTCTTTGAAATTACCTCTAGGGATTCCCTATTTAAACCAGGAGGAGGAAAGACAGCTAAGAGAGCAATACGATGAGAAGCGCTCACAGTCCAGCGGGCCAGGGGCCCTGTCCTACGTCTCTCCCAACACCTCCAAGTGCCCCGTGACGATTCCTGAAGACCAGAAGAAGTTCATTGACCAAGTGGTGTAAGTTCCTTCTCGAAGACCAAAATGTACATCAAGCGATGTACGTGGGGAAAGACTTGTGGGTCTCATGCTGCATAGCACCAGCTTGCTCAGGCGCAGGCAGCGGCGCATGGCAGGGCTGGGTTGAGGCTCATTTGGGCTCATGTGAGATCACGGATTGTAAGCCCAGGTCTGTGTATGGTGCTGAGACTTGCCACGTATCACTAGGAAAGGGACCATGAGCAAGTGGGTGACCTCTGTGACCACTAGCTATTTTCCCTGAAGTCAGGAGAGTAAAACAGGCCCATCCACATATTTGCAACATGTCCATGTTCTTCCTCTCACGGCATTTCTGACAAGCAGAGGTGCTGCTGGAGTAGTGGCTGACTTTGCTTAGTTTAGTTCTCCATATAGCTGCTTTATTAGAAAATGAAAATTTATATCACTGGTATTGATGAATCCTTGAGAAGTGGTCACTGATTCGTCAACAACAGCCAGAAAAAGTATATGCCCAAATAAAGTCTTCTTCTTTAAGGTATACTGAACTAAAAAGTTATAACATGATTAGATAAAATTAATTTGTCCTGTTCAAATTTAGATTGCATTTGAGGAGGATGATTGTGTTGGTTGATGACTTTCATATTGCTGATTATGTTTGTATTCCATTCTGATTTCTCAGAGAGAAAATAGAAGATTTATTACAAAGTGAAGAAAATCAGAACTTGGACTTAGAGCCGTGTACTGGGTTAGTTACCCTGAACATTTACCCATATCTTTTTTTGGACAGGTAGATGTTTTTTGGTATGTGCTGTATTTGGTCTTTTAAAAACACCTTCACAAACAGTCCTTTTATTACAAGTATGTTCCAAGGTTCGAGCGCTAACTTTAGCGTTACTGCGGTGGGATGGTGGTACATTTAGACATTGAATGCGGCCTTTGTCCTACCCTGGAGGGGAGAAAACCATCGTGCAGCTCTGACTTGAAATTATGCTCAAGAGCAACCCGATTATTTTAGTCTCAAGGAGTGATTAGTACATGCAGGTTTCTGAGGCGAAGAATTTGCACACAGGCACTTCTGCCTTTTAATTTCTCTCTGCAATAGCAACTTCAGTGTTCCAAGGAGCCAGCACCTTGAACATCTTCCCTTTTACTGGCTTACAAAAGTATTTTAATGCATCTGTCTACTGTAAACTCCCTTTAGAAAGCTACTGCAAGTAATGATTCAGTTAGACAGGAACATCTACCTCTCTAGAAAAATAATATTATTATTATTTTAAAGATTGATTTATTTATGCACACAAGAACTGGGGTACAGGCCAGAGGTACGGGATGGGGGGGTGAGAGGATTCACCAGAGACAGAGTGGGGAGCAGAACAGGCAGATCTACTGAAATACACTGCTGAGGGGAGCAGCGGGCCAGACAGGGGAGGTCTGCTGTGCCATGTGGGTAGCTCCCTGGCTGGGGATTGAACTTGTGCTGCAGAGGCTGTGGACAGCTTCATAGTACTGTGCTGAACCCTTTGCACCACCAGGGAGGCCCCTCTAGAAAAACATTGAAAGACATTTTGAGGAAGAGAAGTGGTGACTTCTCCCACCTCAGGTATCCCGCCTGTTTTTGTTTGTGTATCACTTGTCACTGCTAATGAAGTGGCTTTTAAACATTGTCTTCCCAGTCAGGGCTTGAGCAGTTAGGATTTGCTTTTAATGAGCCAAAATCAGTGCCTTTTCTTTTTTTTTAAATAGGTTCCAAAGAAAACTAATTTATCAGACTTTGAGTTGGAAGTAAGTGTTTATTTTACTATGTAACTGCTCTGTGAGGGGCCCAGGATTTGAAAGCTAACTATGCTCTCTTTCACATTCTGAAATTCTGCAGTTCGTGGTGATTTGGCCATCCCAGGAACTTGGGCAGTGCTCCATTCTCTTGTCATTTCCATTTGCGTCCTAGAGTTGAATACCTACTTAATTTATTTTTTTTTTCTTTGCTTCTTAGTGGATACATTAAAGCCCTATCCGTTAAGTTTTGGATGTATAATGTTTTTGTTCCTTGAAGATAGGTAATAAATACTCAGGTGAATCCTTTTTCTGAAGGGATTCTTAACTTGGGGTTAATCCATGGGTAGTTTAAGGAAGTATATGAATTCCATGAAATAATAAGCAAAATTTCGTGCTTGTTTTTTTCTGGGCTGTTTCCATTGATTTCATTGTGTTTTTAAGTGGGTCTTTAACCCTGAAATTGAACATCAGTAGTAGACAGAGGGATTGACTTGGTTGGCATTCTTGTTCTCTCAGAGTCGCCAATGACATGTATACTGAAATCACTTTGAATGAAACTGGAAGTGAGCTGTGGTTGTTTGACCAAGCTCTTTCCTGTCGTGTTATCCTCATGGGTTCTAGATCTTGCATGTCCTTGGTCGATGCAAACTAACTTGCCAAATACAGCAGGGTCACTCATCTGAAATTCCCCTTGTAAATACCCCACACAATCTAAAAGACCTTCAAAGTTTCAGTTAGGAAATAGGTATTACTATGCAAGGTTTGACTGTGTGGTTGTGAGTTGACTGTCTTACATGATGGAAGACATTTTAGAAAGTACCTAAGCCCTAAGAAATTAATTTGAAATCAGATACTTTCCTATGTGTTTAACAACAGAGGTAAGGAGATATTTAGCACAGAATTGATTTGCTGAAAAGTTGTCATTGTAATAAGACTTGCTTCAGATTTAATAAAACTTACTGATTTAATTAAGTTATAGTTATATAATTGCTTTTAAAATACTTAGGTTTTTAGCTGTCATTGTCTCATCTACTGATGTCAATTTTCTTTCTTTAGGTATCCCAAAGGCATTCATGTTGAGACTTTAGAAACTGAAAAGGTAACCCTAAGAATTATCCAGAGCTAACAGTCAAACACATAGAATGACTCCCTGATATGTGAAAGTAGAAATTTACACTTGAGTTGTGCACTTGGGAGCGGATGGCTTGGGCCAAGCCACTTCCCCTTGTTGACCTCATTTTTCCCCATTTATACGTTGGGGGTGAGGAGCAGGATGATGTGGCCTAGAGCTGTCTTAGGACTTTTTAAAGGTGATCTAGAGAGTAAATAGAAGTTAATGTGCTTTGTAAACTTGAAAGTGTGCAAATGTTAGTTATGTTTTTTTTTTTTTTAATGGCAGAATACTATAATAATTTGCCTGAAACAAAATGGCTTCCCTTATGTAGGCAAGGAAAATTAAGTTTTAGATCTGGGGTGTAAACACAAACACAGCTGTTGTCATGTATTTCCACAGTGAGCGGGTAGAACCGTGATGGATGGACTGATGGTGGGTTCCCGTTGCAAATTTTAGAATTTAGTTGTTCTTAATCAGATCTCAAATCAAATAAGAGATGAAGTAAATTAAAAAACAATCTTGTTGAAAGATAAGTCTCTATTACCTTATGAGGTAATAGATTTTGTGGTGAGTTAATGTAAAATTTAATATGTGAGAAAGAAGGCACTAGTTACCTGACAAGTTACCAGAAAATCCAGGATGTTTTTCTTATGTTAATGACATAGGTTGGCGAAATCTTATTTTAAAACTATTTAAAAACTCATATTCAATATAACTTCATAGTGTTCATGTTAGAAAGCATTTTATTCTCATAGCCTGTTGATTCTTTTAAGTGACATCTTTTGGGTTGAATTAATAAGCCCAGGAAAGTGTCATGGAGATTCAGAAAGAAAATTTTGGTTTACAAAACATCAACTCAATTTTTGGTGGCATTTTAAAATAATTTCAGTGTGTTTAGCCCCTAAAGCCTATGCAGTGATAATTTCTAATGGTGGCAGAATCTGAACTTTTGGGGGTCAAGTTGCTTCCAGAAAATTGCATATCTGCTTTATGTCTTTTAGAAAGAGCGGTACATAGTTATCAGCAAAGTGGATGAAGAAGAGCGCAAGCGAAGAGAACAGCAGAAACAAGCTAAAGAACAGGTGATTATGTTCGTTTCCTTTGGGGGAGAAATGGCAACATAGATACTTCTTTCTATATATTTCTACATCATAGGTTGAATTCAATTTAATGAGTAGATTTCTATCTTAAAAGAATTGAATCTGTAGAAAAACCTGGACTAGAACGAGGGGAAGTTAAGTATTTATTTTTTAAAGATTCATTTATTTATGCTTACAAGAGCTGGAGTACAGGCCAGAGGTGTGGAGGGTGAGAGGATTCACCAGAACAGAGTGGGGAGCAGAACAGGCAGATCGATGGAAATACACAGCTGAAGGGAGCAGCAGGGAGACAGGAGAGGTCTGCTGCGCCATGTGGGTAGCTCCCTGGCTGGCCGGGGAATCGTGCTGCAGAGGCTGTGGACAGCTTCATAGGTTGTGTCTTGGCCCCTCGTACCACCAGGGAGGCCCTAAGCTTAAGTATTTAGACAGAGCCAACAAAGGCACCAGTCTCCACTAACTCAGTCTTGAAGTGTCATTCAAATTGTGTGTCCCTGAGCTTCACCCCCCCTTAACTAATAATTGCCCTAACTTCAGGTACAGTTACTAGTTTTTCTAAAACAGTGTTTAGAACATTTGATTTAACAGGTTAGGGTGACATGGGCAGGTTTGCGATGTTGAAACATCAGCCTGGCTGCTGTGTGGAGAATGAATTTGAGTAAGACTGGAGGCAGGGATACACGTTAAGCTGTGAAGTAACCTATCTGCAGATGTCTGTGACCTGGAATACGATGGTTAGTAGCTATTTTGGTGGAATCTGGAGATTGCTGTGGAAGGCAGAATTGGGAATTTGTGATTGGATTTGGATGACAAAAGGAGGGAGAAGGAAGATACTCAAGTTAGAAATTTAGGCAACTGGGTAGACTGATGTCAGTTCACTTAGAGGGGGTGGACTGGACCGATACTGGTGGGAGACCACAGGCTGAGGGGCACAGGGGTGGGTTTAGGTGTGGGTGTGGGCGAATGTCACAATCAAATGCATGTAAGGCAGGACCACAGCTGATTGATTCACCTAGAAGAGGTACAATAAAAACCACTTTTAGCTTTAGACAATTCATTGCTCATAGTGAAAGGGTACCAGTCAGACATGTGGCTGCTGGTGGTTCTTGTCCCACACACCTAAAAAGACAGTGTGAAACCTGAGGGCCCGGGTGGTAGAACATGAGTTGTGAGAAGCCAGTTCTGGTCTGTAGCTCAGAGCGCTGATGTTCGGTCACTCTGCAGCTCTTTCCTGCAGGGTATGGGCACTTAGCCCCATGCCCCGTGAGAACCTGGGAGGCTGTGAGAAGCCACTCTTGATGGCCTCCCAGGAGAGAGGTGGGGTGGGTGGAAGATGGCCTCATAGCAGATTCTTGTAAGCTTCTGTTTCCAGTCCTTTCCTTCTGGAGTGCTCTACCAAGAGCAGCTGCAGCTCACACCTTGGTCTTTGTGAGTTAGGATTTGGTGGATTTGGATACATGCATGGTCACCCGGGCACTATGATGGAGCTCTTCCCGTGTGGTGGAAAAAGATGTTACATTCTGTGTTTTGATAGGAGGAGATTTTACAGGTCTTTGGGGCATGGAAGGCTGTTATCTTGCGGGCAGCTTCCTCAGGCTACACGGCAGGCAAGAGGTGAAGGTAGACTTGTCGCTGGCGGGGAATGGAGTGGGTTAGAGCGCCTGCAGGTGTGTGGAGGGAGAGAAGAGGGCAGAGAGGATCCAGCCACCAGCACTGACCCGGCAGGCAGGCAGGAGTAGAAGCATGTGCCTGGAGATGACTGTGACACAGCAGCCAAGGGAAGAGAGGGAAAAAGGGGTGTTGACAGTGTCTGAGACTCTCGAGAAACCAGGATGAGGACTGAGGTGTAGCTGTTGGGTTCAGCATTAGGAGTAGTTTTTCTTGTTCAAAATATTCTTTAAAATTTTTTCGGTTTTAATTGTGGTAAAATATACAGAACATTTACCATCTCAGGTCTTTTAAGTGCGCAGATCCTTCGTGTCCCGCACATTCACGTTGGGCCATGGCTTTCTCCACCATCCGCTCTGGCTGAAACTGTCCCCATCACATAGCTTTCCATTCCCCCCTTCCCAGCCCCTGGTGACCGCCATTCTACTTTCTGTCTTGTGACTTTGACTACCCTAGAAGCTTCATGTGGTGAAGCCTGCAGCATCTCAGGGACAAGGTGACTCCTCCTCAGGGGATGATTCCTTTCCCCAAATCTCAGACGCAGCTGAGCACACAGGCAAGCGTTCTGCATCGGATGTGTAATCTGCAGAATGACCTGCAGCGTGGCATGGTTTATCTGTCCCAGACGGGGAAGTCTTTTCTCAGAAAGAAACATCTTCTCAAACAAGAAACATCTACCACACCTAATACAGAACCCTCTCACACATTTCCATGAATGGCCAAAATATTTTTAAGACTTATCAGGGGTATCAGATAAAATTTCCCCCATCTGGATTCTTCTACTTAGGGAAGCATTAGGCTGATTTCACTGGCACACTGTCTCCACGTTCATCCATGTTGCAACACGTGACAACAATCTCCTTCTCTTGAAGACTCAGTACTTTTCCATTGCATGGATAGACCACGTTTTCTTTATCGTCCATCTATGGATGGACACTTCTACCTTTCAGCCATTGTGAATAATGCAGCTGTGAATATGGGTGTACAGGTCTCTCTGAATCCTTGTTTTTAGTTTTTTTGGGTGCGCACCCAGGAGTGGAATTGCCAAATGCTATGGTAGCTCTGTGTTTAATATATTGCAAAACCACCCTCTTGTTTTCTGTAGCCACCGTAGACTCCGGGAGGGCACCTGGGGTCTCATTTCCCCACGTCCTCGTCAGCGCTTGTTAGCCTTGGGAGTATGTGAAGAGGGGGCAGTTTCAGTAAGGTGGGGGGATGTCTGAGAGCAGAGGGCTGCAAGTAGCTGGGAATTAGGTTGGTGCTAGCGAGAGGAGGGAAGTCTTTCAAATCACTGAACTGTGAAGAGACACAGAAGGGACAGTGGTTGGATGGAGCTTAGAGTTAAGGAAGGAGTTTCAAGAGAGGAGAGAAATTGAGCCTATTTAAACAACGTTAGCAAGAAAATGGGAGAGAAGGAATTTTGTGGGCCTGCGTCTCAGAGTGCGGTGGTCACATATTATAAAAATGCATTTTTACAAAGAAGAAAATCAAGAATGATGGCGTGCTTGATTTGATCAATTATATGGCTTTCTTCGGAACTTGGTGCAGTATTGAGGTTAGCCAGCAGGTGGCAGGCTTTTAAGGTTGGCATTTTTAAGTCCTCTTAGTAGACTTGGAAATTTCAACACCTGATGGGAAGCGGTGGGGACATCCTAGGCACTGTTATTTTAATCACTGACGAATAATTTGCCACTTGCTTATCTTACTTTCTAAAACAGAGGAGAGGTTTGTTCAGTGATCCTTTCAGATGCAGTTGTTTGGGATGATCGATTTATCATCTGTGTAACTCAATGTAAAATTTCAGTGCTTTTATTTTGGGCTAGGTTTTATTCCATGCAAATGAGAAATAGATGTATGTCAGTAGTTTCTGTTTGTTTACTTTAATTAGGAGGAACTGAATGATGCTGTGGGATTTTCTAGAGTCATTCATGCCATTGCTAATTCGGTAAGTGAACCAAATTTTTTCTTTTAAACTAGATTCCTCAATATAACATATAAGGTGTCAAGCCTAATTACCATTGCAAATGAATCACCTGGATACATTAGCATGTTTACCTGGAGTGGAGGAAAGTAGATTATTGTTACAGTGTACTTGGGGAGACGTAATTGCTAGGGATATTCAATCCTTTTTTCAGAATGCATAAGAGGATTCTACTGTGATGTCCACATAAGGCTACCTAAACTAATGTTTATTATTCTCAAAACCAGCAGGAAGTAGAATAAAAGAGAGAAACAATCAGGCATTTGAGCTGTTTTCATCTCTAAGTAGAAGAATCCAGATGGAGGAAAATAGTGTTGTGTTCCTTTGCTTAACTGGACTGAATCTTTTCTGACATTGCTCATAAGTCTTAAAAATATGTTGGCCATTCATGGAAGCATGTGAGAGGGTTCTGTGCTAGGTGTGGTAGATGTTTCTTGTTTGTAAGTCTTTTCTGGGAAGAGGTTGGGGTAGATAAACCAGGTCGTGCTGCAGGTCATTCTGCGGATTACACATCCGATGCAGACTGCTTGCCTGGGTGCTCAGCTGCATCTGAGACTCGGGGAAAGGAATCATAGCCCTGAGGAGGAGTCACCTTGTCCCTGAGAGGCTGAACTTTTGCATCAGGGAAGCCACAGAGAATCTCTCAGGGTTTCGAGGCTGTCCCACTGCCAGGTGTGAACTTGTCAAAACTCCGGCTCCTGAGGGAGGAACACTGCTGTCCTCCCTTGGGAGGGCAGAGGTTACAGAGCCTTTGGGAGGAAGGGGGCTGGCTGATCCGGAGCTCTTTCTGAAAAGTAAATCAGGTGTTCAGAAGGGAAAAGAAAGTTGGATAGACCTGGAGAGAAACAAAGGTGTAGGTCTCTTCAAACATGGCTCAGGTAACAGGTATCCAGAGAAGCAGAGGAGCTTCTGTCCCACTTGCTTCCATTGTGCACACGTGGCCAGCAGACCTCAGCTAAGCCATGGTTTGACGGAGATGGGAGGCATAGTTGGCGCCAAGCTCCCCTGTGGTCTTCCTGGCTGCATAGCTGGCTGCCCGAGATTGGGACATTTCCCCTTTCACGAATTAAATGATCTAAGCTTGTTTGACCTATGTTTGCTTTTCCTCTTTGTTGTCTTTTTTTTCTACAGAATAATTCATACTATTGATATGTTTCTGACCATTGACAGTTAAAGTCACAAAGCGATGAACACAAAGTCCTATTTATGAGTGATTCAGCCATTTAAAAGTTTAAAATATGGATATAGTTAAGCTCTCTAAAGCCAGGGAACAGAAATACTCTTAAATTTTATATCACATTAAAGTCTGCATCGGATGTGTAATCTGCAGAATGACCTGCAGCATGACCTTAATGTCATTCTTAGTAAATCTGTGTTTCTATAGTTTTCAAAAAGTTTTGATTTTGTAGTAATTTTACACTCAGAAAAGTTGCACAGTGCCTCCCTGGTGGTGCAAGGGGTTAGGTCTCAGCACAATGAAGCTATCCGCAGCCACTGCAGCCTGAGTTTGATCCCCGGCCAGAGAGGTGACACACATGGCATAGCAGACCTCTCCTGTCTCCCCGCTGCTCCCCTCAGCAGTGTACTTTAGTCAGTCTGCCTGTTCTGCTCCCCACTCTGTCTCTGGTGAATCCTCTTCACCACCCTACCCCCCACACCTCTGGCCTACACCTTAGCTTTTGTATGCATAAATAAAAATTAAAAAAATCTTTTTTTTTTTTAAAAAGAAAAGTTGCACAAATTGTTTAGCCTGTCCACCCATCCCTCACTTAGCTACCCCTCATGTTAACCTCCCATGTGACTGTGCTGTGATTCGATTTCAGGAAATTAATATTGTTACAATTAATTATATGAGCTAAAAACCTTACGTGAATTTCACCAGCTTTTCTGCTGAATCCTTTTTCTGTTCAGGATTCTGACTAGGATCCCACACTGCATTTACTTGTTATTTCTCCTTAGTCTCCTCAAGTCTGTAACAGTTTTGTCTTTTATAACCTTGATATTTCTAAAGAGTATCAATGAGGATTTTGTCAAATGTCCCTCAGTTGGGATGAATTTTGACATAGGTGAATGAAATGAAAGTTCTGTCTGTTTAATTCAAAATATTATTTTTACCTTTCAGTATTGTTATGAATGTATCTTTTGAAAAGAAGTGAGTTGTTTTAAGGAATATACTTTTAGAAGAGGTATTGGAGTTTGTTCATAAATTACTTAACAGTTCATGTCACTCAGCATTATAGTGACTTTTTAAACTTGAGCTCATCAAGAAAAATATTACTATGTTTGATACTTAAGGGTGGCAAGATGAGTTAATAGCAGAGAAAAATAGCAATCAAATCAAAATCATTTGGCACTTTTACTTCGAAGAAGAATGAAGCCAGCCCTAACTTATTTACTTGCATATGATTATAATTTTTTAAAAATGTCAAAAAGTAAGTTTAGTGCAGTATCTTCACAGAATCTGAACCATGCATTTCACTCTTAAGCCTTCATGTAATTTTGTACCCAGAAGCCCTTTCCCTAACCTTGAGTTTCTTTAGGGAAAACTCGTGATCGGACACAATATGCTCTTGGATGTCATGCACACAGTTCATCAGTTCTACTGCCCCCTACCTGCGGTAAGTGGTTGTCAGCCGGGGTTAAAAACGCACAATTCTCTTGTTTCTGAGAAAGTGGTCTCTTCCTGGGTGCTGTTTCCGGGTCTGCATCACACTCCCAGAGAGTCTCCCATTTTGAAGATTAGGGCTTACAGGCCATTTAAAGGGCTGTTCATTCATCTCCTATTGCCAGCGCAAGGCTAAATGCTTTGTCTTTACGCCAGTGGTCTGCTCAGCTGGGGCTGGGCAGGGCCCCCGGGCTGCAGACATGGGCACTGCTAATGTGAGACAGCAGGGTCGAGGAAGATGAGCGGTGCTTTCAGTCAAGTGACCTGGATCAACTCCTGCAAATTCTCGCCTGCCTCCTGTGAGGCTGCCTCCCTCGACTCCCCGTAGACCTGGCCTGTGAGGCTGCCTCCCTTGACTCCCCGTAGACCTGGCTTGTGTGTTCATGCTGCACTGAGTGCACAGAGCTCCCCGGGAAGAGGCTCCTCTCTATCTCTTGCTCTTCTGCTCCCTCACTGGCATGTGGACTCATCTCACTTCCTGGGCCCTCCCCCTCCTATGTGTTCTCTTTGTTTCCTTCCTCTGGTGATGTCATCTACTATCATAACCTCAGCGGACAGCCCCGGCATCTTGGCCTCCCGCTGTGACCTGGTTTTGTATCCTGAGACCCCAGTTTGTGGCTGACCCCACACTACCTTTCTTCCTTATTACTGTCTCCTGACCAGTTCTTCCTCCTGGTTCCTTAATCTCTGTCTGTGTCTCTAAGTGATACCCTGTCACCAACACTATTTTTAACGTTTGACTCTTTGTCTGTCCCCCAGATCCTGTCACTTACAAAATCCTCATAATTTTCTCTCCCTACTGTTTCTCACATCTGAATTCTTTTCATTTTGACTGCATGATTTGGAGTTTGGCAAACTCCAGGCAGGATTCCCTGTTTCCCTTTAACCTTTAGTACATCCTTTAAGCTGGATCTTGGCAGATTTTTTCTATGAAGGGCCAAATAGTAAATGACTCTGGGCTTTCCAGGCTGCACTGTCTCTGTCACAACTCTCAGCGCTGTCGCTGTCTCCTGAACTCTGCTGTGGAATGCGTGGCAGGTAGACTGGCTTTGTTTCCATAAACCTGTGTTCAAAAAAAAATGGGTGGTGGGTCATATATAGCCCTCAAGCCAGAGTTTGCATGCCTGCCACCACATCGATCTTTTATTACTTCTGCTTTGGAAGAGACCTCTGATCAGAGTTCAGTCTCATATTTCTGTAACCTTGAGGATGTCACTGCTTTTCATGACAACTATAACCTTTGGGACTCAAAGACTTGAGAGCTGTGAATCTCAAAGCAGACGTGATGGGTCTGAATTTGCCTTGTATAAATCTAAACAGCTAGTGTTTGTTTCAGATCAACCATTTCTTGTTGGCTAAATAATCCAAGTAGCAGCTCCTCTCGTGACTTAAAAAAATAGATGTCTTTATTAATGTAACATTAGTTTGTGACATTTTAATAGTTTCACGTAGATAGATAATAATTTGACATCTGTGTATACTACACTAGGATCCCCACCAGAGATCTAGTTTCTTCCACCACCATATAGTTGATTCCTTTTAAGCCCACTTTACACACACACACACACACACACACCACACACACACACACACACACATACACCTTCTCCCTCTGGTAACCACCAATCTGTTTTCTGTATCTAAAAGGTGGTTTTCTTTTGTTTGCTTGTTTGCTGTGTTTTTTATATTCCACATGAGTAAAATCATATGGTATGAAATTTCTCTGATTTATTTCACTTAGCATAATCGCTTCCAAGTCCATCCATGTTGTTCCAATGGCAAGGTTTCCTCTTTTTCCTACAGCTGTATAGTAGTCCATTGTGTGTATGTGCCATGTCTTCTTTATCCGCTCCTCTGGTCTTCTCAGGACTTTTCAACCTTTAAAGCAATGAAGTTACCAGAAAGGAAAGAGGAAATGTATTTGTGTTGTGTTTGGAGGTGTTTTGAACACTCAGTAGAGCTTAGCACTTAGGAGGCATGACATATTGATTTAACAAGTGAGTGTCTTCCAGCTGTGCTCTCTTAATAATCTTCTGGTATATAGCCCTGTTCACATCACTGACTGCTCAGAATTCTGAACTGATCCCACTTCTCTGTCTTTCTGTACTGTTGATGCTCCTCTGCCTGGCATAGCCAGCGCTCAGTGCTCCGGCCCAGTGGTCTAGCCTCACTTTACTCTGCTTTTTTCTCAGCCAGACTGACTCATTTGTTCCTGAGAAGTGCTTTGTGTTTTTTGCTTGTCTGTGTTTTTGGTATATAATATCCTGCAACTTGAATTTTCTCTAGCTTTTCTCAATGTTTGCTCTTTGCAGCTTTCCCCTCTCATCAAGGTTTTATGCCTCTCCCAGGAAGTTTTCCTTGTCTGCTCTTGGTCAAGTGTTGTTCTTTCCTTCCTCTGAACTCCTGCAGAATTGTGTACTTCTTATGGCTGTAAATGTTGTCTTGAAACCTTACCCCCTTCTCCTTCTAGGTAATTTCCCCCTGGGGCAAGGGATATAACTGTTATCGGTGTATGCTGAGCCTTGCAATGTCATAAGCCCTTAGTAAATGTTACCATGAATGAAACTAGTTTTGAAGTAAATTCTAGTAGAAAAGAACATGAGATTTGTTGCAGAGTAGGAGGTGAGTTAAGATTAGTGGTTTGGCTGCTCTAAAGTTCAGTAAGGAGCCCTCTGCCAAACCAAAGCAGGTGGCAAATTCCAGGATGAGGGCCTCGTAAGCCTCATTCTAGAAAGAATTTTGAGAATTGTTATCTAGAAAATCCTGAAAGGTCTTAAATATGACCTGTGATGAAACACAAAACAACAAATTCATATTCATATTTTAAAGAAAGTACCTGCTTCAGAGCACCTGCAGTGAGTGTTTCTGCAATCTTGATGGAAACAAAGTACTGAGATTAAACAATGAACCAACTTAGTTTAAATATCTAAAAGGTAGTCGTTATGCAACTGGTGAAAAACATTAATTGTACTAATATATAACAAATCAGTACCAATATATAGTATTTCAAAATGAGACTGAGTGAATAAAGTGTGGATACTCTTTTAATATGTGACATTTATGATTAACCTGTCAGAATAGCTACATAAGTAAAAATGATTGAAACAACTTACCTAATGCTCTGGCTCTAATTAAAAAAAAAAAAACTGTTTGAAAAATTAAAAAAAAAAAAAAAAAGATTAGTGGTTTGGGCCTCCCTGGTGGTGCAGCGGGTTGAGCGCTGTGCTGTGAGGCTGTCCGCAGCCTCTGCAGCGTGGGTTCGATTCCGGGCTGGCCAGGGAGATTCCCACATGGCGCGGCAGACCTCTCCTGTCGCACCCGCTGCTCCCCTCAGCAGTGTCTTTGGTCCGTCTGCCTCTTCTCCCCACTCTGTCTCAGTTGAATTTTCTCACCCTCCCGCACCTCTGTCCTGTGCCCTAGTTCTTGTGTAAATAAATAAAATCTTAAAAAAAAAAATTAGTGGTTTTATCCACTGCTTTACTGCGATGGTGATATGGGTAAGATTTTTATGCTCTGTTCTTATCAGAGGGAAAAAATGGTTTTCTTCCACCTACCTTTGGAAGAAGTGATGAGAATAAGTGAGCAAGCTTATGTAAAATGGTACAACTTTTACATTCACCTGTACCAAATTTTACATTTAAAAGTTTACTGAAGGTTCCTATTTTGGAGCTACCTTTAGGAGAGTCCCTCCTCAACCATCTTCTTGGTACTTGGGCGTGATCTTTCAGAAGACATTGATCTGCCACTCTGCTAGATACTGGCAGGAAAGTCGCTGTGATTCTAATTGTTTCTTGCTTATGGGACTTTGTAAAGGTATTGAGAGATTACAGTCCTCATTACATTTTTGTTTTGACTTCATGTTGAAACTACTCGTTCATGTATTGTCCATTAATTTAACAAGAGCCATTGAAAAGCTGGAAAATATTTCAAGCTAGCTAAATGCAGTCTGGATTCACAGGGTGAAAAGTTAATTGGAAATGGCAGGTTGCTATGAAGCATGAATAACACTGAAGGGAAGTACAGTTACAAAGGGCTGGGTATGACTACCCGGTACAGCATGGCAACTGCTTATGTAAATGAGTTCATTCAAAATTAGAGCAAGCTTGCCTTAGCTTTCAGCTTCCTGATCAAAGAAACTTAGGAGGTGACTTGTCTAATGTAGACTCTTGTTATTGCTGTCACTTTAGCAATTTTCCAGTCAAAGCAGGAATGTGTGTATTGAAAAGCAGGTGTTTTCGTGACCATTTAAATCAACATACCCAAGCATGTCCACTTAAAGGAGGAGTCTTATTGTGTCTATTTCCTGCATACACCAGCTTATTTAAATAAGTCTGCTAGTCTGACTGTGATGATGAGTTTGTGTAAGAAAGCTGTGACTGAAGGCTTTCTGCATTTAAGAAGAACTTTCCCCCTTCCTGTTTTAGCCATAAAGTGCTTAAATCTGTTCATTTTCATTATGCAGAAGTTTCACATCTCATCATATGCTTCCCCATCAGCGAGAATATCGTGACACTTTTTAAGAAGGCATTACTAACTAAAATTAGTGGCAGTTTAGCTGAAAGGGCCTGTGTGAGGCATCACAGTTTGTTTGAGAAGAGGTTATGGAACTTGAAATATCATGAATGTTTTTTAATACTGTGAGTGGATTAGTGACATTGTAATCAGTCTTTCTGTTGTTTTTTTAGGACTTAAATGAGTTTAAGGAGATGACAACTTGTGTTTTCCCCAGGTAAGTTTTCTTTGAGGATTTGTCTTTCATTTAAAAAAGTGATCATGGTGTATATAAGTAGGCCTATAGTCATTTATTAAACCCTTAAGATCGTGATTAGTTCACATAAGCCAGGAAATGGTTTAATACCTCCAACTTTGTGATGGCTTGCTTTTATTATTGATGATTTTGGTATTCTATTGAGAATTAAAATATGAAAGGAAACTCTTTCTCCTCATGCCATATCTCATCTGAAAAGCTGCTGAAGTTTTCTCGAATTGACTCTTGTCTTTCTTGTATAGAGATACTAGTTGGCACTGTGGGATTGTCCCGTTGAGACTATTCTACAGTCAAGAATTGTCTGGTCAGATATTTTTTCCCCTCAACTTTAAGTCAACTTTATCTGTTAGTATTTCTCCACATCACCGTTGTGCATAAGTTCTGCTAGGTCACATGTTTGAAGGTCACATGTCAGCCACGTGATACCTTCAGAGCATAGTCTGTGTGAGGACCGGCTGGAGAGGGGCAGGTACAGCATGGAGCATTGGCTTCTCCAGCCAGGCTTTCCATTCTGTTTATCCACAGTGTTCACATTTATATGAAAAAAAAAAAAAAAAAAAAAAAAAAGTCTTCAGATTAGTCTGTCTCCTTTTTGTTTAAATGTTTTTCTTTAAAGATTTATTTTTGTTTATGCATACCAAAACTGGGGTACAGGCCAGAGGTGTGTGTGTGTGGGGGGGTGAGAGGATTCACCAGAGACAGAATGGGGAGCAGAACAGGCCGATCTACTGGAATACCCTGCTGAGGGGAGCAGCAGGGAGACAGGAGAGGTCTGCTATGCCATGTGGGTCAGCTCCCTGGCTGAGGATTGAACTCAGGCTGCAGTGGCTGAAGATAGCTTGATAGCACTGAGACTTTAACCTCTGTGCCACCAGGAAGGCCCTGTCTCCTTTTTTCTTTTTTCCTTAAATGACTAATTATTTCAATCTCTGAAACAGAATAGTAAGGGATAACAGAGATAGTATGAAACTACCAAATACATATTTTGACCTCCAAGAATTTATATTGAACAAATCTGGCAGTGGTAGAAACTGACAGCCTGGGAATATCTGACCTGCAGTATTTGAGCCATGTGAAAACATGATGCTCTTGGACTTACTGGAGATTCACATAGCCACACCCTCTCCACATACAAGCTAATCTAGAACTTGTGCTCTGAGTGTGGGGAGTGTGGGCTCCCTTGCAGCCACCGGAAGCTCCTGGTCGATGGGGCTGGGCTCCCAGCCTCATGCTGTGGGAGGCCTGAACTAGTCCAGAATGGCTCATGTGCCTAATTCTCCTCTCCACTTTTAAGACAATAGGCTATTCATCTGAGTCAAACACATTTGAACACTGATATACATTTTGTTTACCTTATTGAAAATTCTTTTGTTTTTAGACTCTTGGATACTAAATTGATGGCCAGCACACAACCTTTTAAGGTATTTTAAAAATTTGAACTATTACTGATAAGCTATATTTTGGAATTTTCTGAATTGTGACTAAGAGCTTTGGAATTCTCGTCTGTTTAAATGCCATTTCCAAATATATCCAAACAAAGAGAGAAAAGAACAACAAAAAAAAAATGGGAAAAGACTAGAAAACTATACCAAAATGTGAATAGCAGTTGTCTTTGGGTGGTGGAATTATGTTGTTTTTCTCCTTTACTCTTTTTGAATCTAAATTGTTAATATGAGAATGTATAATGTATTTTTGGGTAGATCACACATACATGCACTTCTCCCTTTATTTTCCTTATTTTATGTATTTGGGATACATTTTATAATCAAAAAAATTCAAGTAAAGGTGTAATCATCTGCTACTTTGTGGAGTGACTTTAGACCCCCTCATGAAATGAATGGCAGGACGGTGTAGCTCTCTGGCTAGATACTGATTTTTAATGGGTCTGTGGAAATCTTTCATATGACTGTACTTTCCTTATGGTGAAAATTAAACCTGCACCTTGTCTTTCACATTGAATGAGCAAAGACACCTGTGATTCTTTAAAGAACACAAGGGGGCAGCACCAGATTTTTTTGTTTTTGTCATGATGTTCTGCGGAGCTCAGTATATGTTGCAGTGAGATGAGAGCTTGTAATTCTCCATTTGCTGGTTTGCAGGATATCATTAACAACACATCCCTTGCTGAACTGGAAAAGCGGTTAAAAGACACACCTTTCAACCCTCCTCAAGTTGGTAAGAATGTAAAGTGATCTGAAAATCCCCAAACTCTTGGTGCTAATTGTTGGTGTATATTGTAGAAGAAAGATGAAACTGCTCTAGAATCGATCTCGCACAGTTACAGATTTCTGTTAACTTACTCATGCTCTGTGTTGAATTACTGTTTTCTGAATAAAAATGGCCTTTATGTTAATCCAGTTGGTTAGTAGCCTGTTCATTGAGAAGTTTAGCAATTAAAGCTTCAGGGCTTTTATTTCTTAATGCTTGGAATTCTCCCAAACCCAATGTGTTCTCTTCTCTATGGTGCATTGTTCAAGCAGAGACAAAGAGTTGGTGATTAATTGCCAGGAGTAGAATGAAAATATATTTTGTGCTTCAGAAAGCCCAAGAACCGGGTTTACTGCTGAGGAAGGAGAGACTCCAGCCCTGCCTCCTAGTGACGTGTTGTAGGAGCAGAGCAGCAGCAGTGAGAACAACCACAAGTGGGGAGAATATTTCTCGGGTGGAGAGCTGGTGCCACATCCCTCAGCACTACCCGGGTGTTTGGTGAACCTCCCAGGTTCAAGCTCCTTCTCGGTCCCCGTTAGCCTAGTGGTGCGGCAGATACTGTAACTGACATTCTGTTAGCTGGGAGCTGCATCTAGCAAACTCCTGAGGACATACATAATAGGGTTAATGGTTCAGAAACCATTAATGGAAGGTACCACAGCAGTCACGATTTGCCTCCCTTTCTGGGTAATAGTCCAAAAATGGAATTAAGAAAATGCGTGGGTAGGGGTGCTAGAACTTTACTGTAACAATAGAATGGGAGGAATTGCTTTCGGAAATCTGTGTTTTTGGTGGTAGTAGAGTAGAGGGTATTACTTAATTGGCTACCACATTGAAAGACTTTTTTGGATACTTCTTATGGAGGTTAAAGAACTCTTACGTAAAGAGCATTGTGTGACATAAAAACAGTGACAGCCTTTTCATTGTTAATTTCCATTCATGCTTTTGATTCTGCTATACCTTCTTGATAACTCATTTTCAGAATGTTTCTAGGAAATAATCATGAGTTATAGCTTTATCCTATTTTTTCCATCTACAGTTCTGGCATGTGGTAGAGAATTTGGTCTAAAACGGGTCACTCTTAGATGTTTTTCTCTCAGCATCTATGTATAAATCTGTGACAAAAGAATCAGGTTATAAAATGGTCTCTGATGAGGTGGCCTCATGTTCCAAGGGCAGCATTACTGCAAGTTCTGATCTAATTTTGGAATTAGGTGTGCTTTCATCTTTAGATTTGTAAGCTTGGAAACATAGTAGAGGACAACATTGAATTGAACTACCAGTGTTGATTGGAATCTGCTTTTTTGGAGGGTCACGTGGGGTTTCAATAGGTAACCATTGCTGAGTGTTTACCATGTGCCAAATTCTATAAGAACTTTAGTCACCTCGGCTCATTTGATCTTCACAGAAATCTGGTAAGGGTGGTTTGGTCACATCTCCATTTTACCAGAGGAGGCCAAAAGGTGAAATGATTTGTCCAAAATCTCAGGGCAATTAAGTAATGGTGCAGAGATCAAAACTCAGACAGTGGGACTCAGAGTTCGTGCCAGTAATCATTACTCTGAAGTTCCTGTTGGGTCTTGATGTTACTATTATCTGTAAGGGAAGAAGCTCCTTTCTGTAAACTTAAAAAGCAGTCAGGAGGAATAGCTTTCCTAGAGCATGTGACACGTGATTGTCAGTAGTGCCACCTTGTGAGATGAGGAAGCCAAGGCTAGTCTCTGATAGTCTGACATGGCATTTCTTCAGTCTAGGCCATAGCTTTCATTTTCAGGGACTCTGTCATCTGTATTGTAAGCTCTTGTCTGGCGAGAATTAAGTAATAGGCATTTAGGATATGTCTGAGCACATAGTAATGCACTTGGATTTGGTGGGGCAATCCCTACCAGTCTTCGTATTTTGTAATGGCCTTGGAAAAACTGTCTCTTCTTTTTTCTTTTTAGAAAGTGCAGAAGGTTTTCCAAGTTACAACACAGCTTCTGAACAGCTCCACGAGGCAGGCTACGACGCTTACATCACAGGACTGTGTTTCATCTCCATGGCAAACTACCTAGGTACTCACTGTTCATGTGTCTGTTGAACACATAGTGGTGCAGAGTGGATCTCACCTGCCTGCCACTTTCCTGGGATCCACTCACGGCATTAGAAGTGGAGGGGGTTGGAGGTCAGAGTTGCAGGAGGTTGGGGTCCTGGGGGGCATGGAGAGTCCCCAGGGAGGAGCTGCTGACACCTGTGGTGGGGACTCGGACTGTGCAAGTGCCTTTTACTCTTGGTGAGCCATACTGTTGATTTAAATGTATTTCTGCCTGCACTTTCAGTCTTCATCTGCTTGACTATATATAATATTCTGTGTCTTTTCTTCATCAGGTTCTTTTCTTAGTCCTCCAAAAATTCACGTGTCTGCCAGATCAAAACTCATTGAACCTTTTTTTAACAAGTGAGTAATCAGAGGGCCCCAGTCCCCAAACTTGCTTTCTGCAGAAGAGTCCTGTGTCTCTGACTTCATTGAGGGATGATTGGGCGGTGTCATTCATATTTCTCATTTCTAGTGACTCAGATGCTATTCAAAGTAGGAATTGACCTTTTGGGAAATAATTTATTAAATATATTTGCTTTCAAAAAGTGAAAGGAAGGAAAAGCAAACATTATCAAAGGTGGTATATCTCTTCCAAGACAAAGAAGTGGTTTTGGCATTTAAATTACCTACAATGGATAAAAAGAGAGAGAGGGCCTCCCTGGTGGTGCAAGGGGTTAAGCACCGCACTGTGAAGCAAATCCACAGCCTCTGCAATACGAGTTCGATCCCTGGCCAGCCAGGGAGCAACCCACATGGCGCAGCAGACCTCTCCTGACTCGCCCGCTGCTTCCCTCAGCAGTGTATTTCAGTCAGTCTGCCTGTTCTGTTCCCCACTCTCTCTCTGTTGAGTCCTCTCACCCCCCGCATCTCTGGCCTGTACTCCAGCTCTTATATGCATAAATAAATCTTTAAAAAAAAAGAGAGAGACAGCGAAATAAGCCAGAAAGAAAAAGAAAAATACCGGATGGTCTCACTCATAGCAGGAATCTAGAAAACTTAAATAAGGGACCAGGAATATGAATAACTATAAGAAAGTGAAAATCAAAATCAACAAAAAACTATGAACCAGAGACACTCTGGGGGGTAGGGGACAGGAGGGGAGGGATTGGGGTCAAAATAAGGGGGTTGCAATTGTATGGGGAATATAAAAATAAAATTTATTATATAAAAAAAGAGAGAGACACAGAAAGACACAGTGCAAGAGCGAGCACACAAGCACGTACCCCAACAAATTTTACATGTGAGATAATTATGCTTATGTAATTATTATATGATTAAATAATATTTCTGAGAAGATGTTGGTCATGCAGGGGACTTTTAAAATTAATATGTGGGGACGTTTCAATGGTCACGGTGTTCTAAGCCTTCATTGGAATGGATTCCATAAAGTACAGGCTTGCTCGTATGTCTTCATTGTTGGGAGAAGTCAGTATGATTTAGGGAGAAGTCTAAATTCAGAGCATTTTCAAAGAATCTCTCGATTATTACTTCAAAGTGTGGTTTGTTCTTTCTTGGCAGAGTTGAAACTAAAATTATGGATGTGATCCACAGGCAGCCCGCAGTTTGGCTCTGTGTCAGAACCCTAAACCTTCATCTTTACCCCAGCTCTCTTAGCAGGGTTGGTTCTAGGAGATTCTGGGCAAGCGAGATAGGAAAAGGCAGCCCACATTGATCAGCACCACTGCCAGTGAGAACTACTTCAGTGTTGAGTGGTTACATCATCTCCGCACATTATATACAGCGCTTTGCAATCCTGTCAGTGCAGGGAGGGGCGGAGACCAACTCCTTCAGTGTTTGTGTAAATACCCATAGCACAGGGCTCATACATAGGTAATAGGCTACAGAGATATTTATCCCAAACATCTGGATTCCAATAGTTTATCATATTACGACTTCCTATTTTTTGAATCTTCATTCTTTTTTTGTGGCGGTCTAGAGGTAGCTGGGTTTGACTTTCAAAACATCTTTCAAAGAAGACAGGGTGACAATGTAGTGTATATTGGAGGTTAAGTTGAATTTTGCTGTATGGAAAATTAATTGGGTAACCACCGAGTCCTTGCTGTCCATCTAGTTCCTCATGGTTTATTGAAACAGGATTTTCTTAACTCTTGTTTGGGGTAGTGTTGATCTTCGTAAATCTTTGCACAGGCAGCTCATGTCATAGACCATGGAACTGAGGCTGACACTAAACATTGCTGATTGTTGCTATCCCTGCATATGTAGGATGTTATGTTTGTTGTTCAATAATATTTTTCAACTGGGAGATGTTTATTCATTTTGAAATATTTAAAGCAATGATCCTGCTTTTCCACTAAAATCAACTCCCTATAAAATCAAGTGATGGGAAGAAACGAGTTAGATAGAGCTTGTATCTGGTTTACCAGTAACTTGTCTGACCAACATGAAGAGCAGTCAAAAAGAAGAAAGGCTACCCTAAGATTTCATATGTTTTTATATCAATTTAATATTGATATGCAGGACTATTATTCAACAGCTACACCTCTTCATTTTAAATTGGGACATGATCCATTCCGTATCTTTTTTCCCTGAACATAGATGCACGTGAAAAATCATTGAGGATTCAGGAATCCTCTTGTGATAGTGCACTGAAAATTCTTGCCAAATTTGATTTTTTGCTCTTTCCCCCCATTTGTAAGGAAAGAATATTTTCTTTATCTTTGAAGAGAAAAAATTCCAGCAGTATTTACAACACAAAATAAGAACTGTTTTTACTATTCTATGTTGGTCAAGTATCACTCTAGCTTGGTCAAGCACAGACTTAATTCTTAACCCATTTAAAAAGTGGGAAAAGCATTTGCTTCTTTTGACATCTCTCTGTGTGTTAATATTGACCTCATTCTTATTGACATGGATGTTCGAGCTATGACATTAAAATTCGGATTTTGTCATGTTTTCAAGGTCACCCTGGTACAAAAATATCCACCAGTTGCCATCCACATTGTCTCAAGTGGTCGACTTTAGAAAAATCTCTGTATTTTTTTGAAGGTTTATTTGCTTTGGCACCAGGCTTTTCTAAATGTGAGCCTAACCAAATATGTGTAGTCCTAACACAAATTTGGATGGACATCAAGCTACCCACATATGCAAATAATATTTTGTTCTGCTTGTACCAGATTTATGTTTAAAAAGTAAACCTGAAGGGGAAATAAACTCCACCTATTTCTGTATTAATCTAAATTAGCTTTTGGCTGGAGTCCGTAGGCCTTCTTGGGAAGGATGTCCCAGCAGGATTTCTCATGGTGCCATTTTGTCCCTCTCCTAGCCCAGGGACCTCCCACAGTTTCCTTGCTGTTGGATTCAGAATGAAAGTCCTGAGGGTGCTGAGCGAGGAGACCCGGAACAGGCCGCTCGCTGCTAATGGCAGGCTGTGGGGACGCACGCCGTTGGTTGCAGCCCTCTGGGCAGGAAACGGCCGACCTCCTTTTATAACTGTGGTCACTTTTAATCAATGCCTGGAAAACCAGACTTAGAGAAGCTCCTTTGGTCAATCCTTTTAGGCTGGAAAGAACTAAAAATACTCTGCTTTTATTTTATATTGCACCACAGAAGCGCAGAATCAGACTTTTGCCTTATGTTCTATTAGCAGTCATCAGTTTCTGCAAGACACCTTATACTCTTGTAGCTAACCTTTTATGAAGGGTTTTGGGGAAGGTCATTTTCCTCTTACCTCAGTTCTTAGAAAGAGGAAGGAAATTAGCAAGTTTCTTGTTTCAGCTTTTCTCCGTAAGTAATTAAACTAAAAAGAAAGAATCACCGCATATTACTATGTAGGACGGCCATCTTGTTCACGACACAGGTGTTCTGAATCTCACCAGAATTCTTCTAGACATCTAGGGCTTCCTGGGCTGACACAGTTCGGATGTTTTTTCCAAATCATAGTTGAGGAGACAAGCCATAACAAGGAGCAATGATATACTTGTGGACAAATGATTTCCTTCTATGTAAAACTAGGCTAAAATTTCTCCATGGAGGTTATAAAGATTGTGGGAGATCTGAAAGGACTTTGATGGCACCTAGTACTTTATCTCTTTAGGTGCCCAGTATATATTATTTTCCTTTCTTGGAATATAAAAGAGTTTAACATACAAGGAGGTTGAAAAAAGCAGATGTGGTGGCAGAATATGTTTCTGGTTTAATGATACAGAAGAAACTTTGTCATCCTGTGGGTATAAAATTGGAGTAATCAATGGCAAAGCAAAGGGTTCCCTTTTACTAGTACCTACCATTTAGTGTTGGCTGATAAAAAAAGATGTTGATGAAGTGTGTCAGATTGGTACATAATGGCAGCAAGATTGCTTTGATTTGGAGCATTTTAAAACATTTTGGTATTCAATTGGAGACATCAGTTTATGGAAGGTGGTGGAGGTACATATAATAGCCCCGAGCCTAGAGTGGGAGACACGGTGCCTGAAGTAGAGCACACTGGTGTTTTCTCCCCTTTCCTACATAGAAAGCAATCCTGTGCCAGCAGAAGCTTTTTCTTATAAAATGTATGAGTTCATATTTAACATCAGAGAGGTTTTAACCTGATAGATTAGAAGAAAACAAAGTACTAAAGACTAGCACTGTACCTTCCACCTATAGGGGGACCCTCTGTAGCCTTTCCTGTTTCTCCCTCAAACAGAAGAGCAGAAGGTACTGGAAGAACAAGAGGGTGAGGCAAATCTGTTCTGATTCCTGGTGTTTGCTGTCAGTTTTCAGTTCTGCGTGTCCTGTTCAGGTCAGGTAGAAGTGGTACAGTAACCCCGCTCACCCCCTAGAGACTTCCAACTTGCCAGCATAAGCAAATTATAAGACAGTTGGTGCTATTGATATGGCACATGGGGCCATGAGTGTCACAACACTCATCCTAATTGGTTTCTATTTGCATTTACAATTAAATGTCATTTGATTTCTCCAGTAGGATTGCTTAACCTCGGGACATGGTGTCGTCCCTGGTCTCTGGGCTCAGGGACCAGCCCCACTCTGATACCTGTGTCATCCTGGGCAAGTGCTTAGCATCTCTGTGGCCCACTTTCCTTATCTGTCAATTGAGAATGCAGGTGCCCATTTTAAGGATGTAGGGGGTAAAATGCACAGTGCCTGGCATGTTGTAGGCCTCAGTCAGCTGCTCTGCTGTGAGAACACTTGTACTTTGAGGTTGTGCTTCTCACACCAGAGGGATGAGCCTTTGGAGGGCTGTTTTGTTCTGAGAAGGCACTGAGAAGGCATCATATGTTTGTAACTTTTGTACTGAACCTGCCCTATAAGTCGGGCTTTGTATTCAATTAGGAGTCTTGAACAGGAATGAGGGGAGGGAAAAGACTGCTTGTAACTAAAAGGTGCTCAGGGAAAATATT